GCCGTGCAAGTGGAAACCAACGATAAAATGGAACTGGCCGAAAAAGAAAGCAAACAGCAAATTGCCAAGCTAGAAGAAAAATTGAGACGGACTCAGCAAGATGCCAATCGAGCCAGAGCCGCCTTGAAGAAACAAAACAACAGCAGCAACAACAACAGCAGCTTGCTACGACAAAGACCAATGCCCAACAATCTCCACTGCGACAAAATAATATTAGTTCACCGTTGGACCCGAGAGCATCATCACGCTTGGAACACAACAATTCAAAACCAGAAACACTGACATGCAGTGCTTCGTCACCAAAACCAGCAGTCAGTCGGTCCAACAATGATCATCCCATGGTGGACGCTGATCCGAAAGCACATACCACTACTGCTACAAGCTATTCCTCCATTTTGGCCCAAAAATTGCTTCTGGAGTTGCTACCCGAAAGCCATCAAGTACATGCTTTGCTATCATATGCCATCAGTGACGCATCCAGTAATTCTTCGCACAGTCCACCACAAGACGATGTCACCCTGATTTGGAATCTCGTCCAACAAAGTGTAGATTGTTCCAATCATCAAGCTCTGGCTGTTCTAGAGAAAGCACTGCTCTGGAGTCCACAGGGTTGCAACGCATTGGTGGAAGCTGCGGGTTGGAAAATCTTCCAGGAAGAAGAGCCAGATGAAAATATGGACAACAACAACGTTTTGGCAAAAACAGGATCCACCATTCGGTTCGCATCCCACAACAATCGGCAACAGGCACGTCTACAGGCCATTGCACTCCAACTCAAACAACCGCTAGGTTTGATGTCCTCTAGTGCAAGAGGCCCACGGCAACACCACAAGTCATTCAGCCCCAAGCAACAGCTGTTGGCTTGTCAACTGGTGACAAAGCTCTCCGAATCCATTGCTTCCAACGACAACAAGGTGTCTCTGGGAATCCTGGCCCGGCTTTTGGCCCACTGTGATGGACAAACCCATCAACCATCTGTAGCCGTTCTAGAGCCTGCCATGACCGGCATTGTGGCCCGTTTGCAAGCTCATCGTCCAATGACGGACCAAGTACGTGGCTACGATCCATTGCCTCGACTGATACCTGCCATCGACGAGCGGGATCTCTCTCTTTTTCCGCCAGACTGGCAGAGAGATCAAAATTATCTTCATTTTTCTCTTCCAATTGTCGTCTTAGGTCCGCAATCAGGGCTTGCTGCTGCTGATCCAACTGTGGCTGTTGTGGTGGTGGTGGTTGTGGTGGAGGGGCATGCTGGGGTTGCGGAGGCTGCTGCCGCTGCTGCTGTGATGCCTGTGATGCTTGTGGATGGTATATGGATGCTGGCTGCAACCGAGATCCTCCATTGTTGGTGCTGTTGTTGTTAGCATTGTTAGCATTGCTGTTGTAGGAGAATCGACGGTACCCATTCGAGGATGACTGACTTGCATAGGGGTTGTTGTGTGCCATAGCTGCATGTGGATCTACCCAAAACACTCCCAAGATGGAGAACAGGAAAAGATCCGTACGTAGGAAGTAACGCCACTTCAGTCCCTCGCTCTAGATGTCGGTGACACTAAAGCATCAGCTCTGAGAGACTTGATACAGTATCGTGACTGTAGACTATTATCCTGCGCCCGACGCAGTGCTCTATCTTTGTAAGGGAGGCTGAGACGCTGAGACCTTGTTGGTTTTGTAGTGTACGGTATCGGTTGACGAGTGCCAATGGCCAATGCGTCGTCCGTCCGTGCAGCACATGATGTTCGGAATGGTATTGCATTATTATTGCTATTTGAGCTTGTGCTTCCGAGCTAGCTAGTAGTAGATGGTGCGGAAAGTTGGTGAGGCTCCAAGGAGACCTCAGCCAGCTGAGTTAGTAGTCTATGCCCTACACTGTACAGTACCATAAAAGGAAGCTGAAGGAAAAGCAAACCAGTTTGATGCCAATTAGACATTTTTGCTGTACTAGCTAGCTAGTAGTCTAGCTAGCTAGTACCCGTACTATAGATCTACTTACTACCCGTACCCGTACCAGTAGACTAGCTATGGGTAGTACGTACCGGTACCCTTGGTCCAGCTAGTACTGGTAGATCATTGGACCAGCCAGAATGATAGCCTCATTTTGCAATGGCATGTGCACAAGGAAAAGCCACAATGTTCAACAACAACATGCAAGAAGATAAACACAGGAAACAACTGCACATAAAGCACTTTCATCACTTGTCTCTTCCGTCACAACAAAAGGGGAATTGTTGCCCAACATCAGCAAGGAATTACTGACCAACAGACACAGTGCAATACCAACTGGAGTACGAAATGGGCAACTGCAGCAGTAGAGTTGTAGAACATGAGATAATTACTCTGAGACCACTCGACAGCCATGGGGATCCTTCACGAAAAGCACAAATAATGAACCAACTACTGTGGCAATTACTCTGGCTGGGTGGTACCGGTACCAGTATGGATAGTGTTGATGCCAAACAGGACAGAATATGAACGTTTCAAACTGTTGGAAAAGAGACCTTGGTGGGATGTGGACAAGTATGGCACAGGTGTTGGAATCCATGAGCAACCCACTACCACTTCAGCTACAGCCAGCCAATCGGTTACCATTATCAGCAGCGATTTATCCGTTGGGAACAACGAATTCATGGCAAGCAGCCAGGCAATGAAATATCCAACGACGCTACTGAATGGGCTACCACTGCTACCACTCCTACCACTACCACTACTACCACTACAACCACTACAACCACTGCTACCACTACTTACAAGCGAGGAACTATCGACCTCAGCAGCATTGTCTATAACAGGACACTATCAGCACAAGAAGCAAAACAGGAGGAGCTACAAGCAAAAAGAACAGACACCGCAACTTTATCAACAACAAGAAGCAGTCATCAGTTCTCCCAAGGTACTGGTAGATTGTTCTAGTAGCACAACCATGGAAGCAGCCTATAAGGTTACCGTATCCGAAGGGATTAATCATGTAGCCTCCAGTTGACCAGTTGCTACCTTTGACTCGACGACGATCTGTTTGCTCAGGCTAATAATGGAGCTGGATTTGGCAGACCCTCCCCCGTAATGCAGTAATAACCGAAGCAGCCTCTCTTATCTGTCATTGTGACTCATCGTCGATCTTCAAAATTCCCCTACTTGACTGCCATAGGCCGAGAAAAGAACATGGGTCAATCCATGGAAAGGTGGTCGATGGTGTAGAGGTATTGTCATATCAGGTAAAGGGCTCGGCGGGAAGTGAGAAGAAACAGGTTGATTGTTGCGACGGTGGATTGATTCTCTTCCATAGGAGGAATAGGGTGGCACCGGGAAACGAGGCGCCTCACGGCAACTCCTCCCAGCCATCTAACCAGTGCTGGAAAGAAGGGCTTTTTGTGACAGAAAAGAATACTATAACAGTCTCATAGCAACTGGTGCTCCGATAGTGCTGGGATGAGGTGACAGCAGCCTCTTGTTATCGATGATAATGTATTCTCCTATTATCTTTCAATGATTGATTCAACGGGGCTGGAGATAGGACTTGATCTATGGAACCTTGCCCTGTGTAGCAGTGGATCTTATTATCCGGGGCGATCAATCGATCAAGGCAGCCTGTATTTTGTTCCGGGGTAATCTATCTTGTCCGATTAATAGCAGAGGTGCGACCGCTCGACTTTTAAAACGTATATCTGAGCTATCCGTTCCATACCAGATACCACATGATTGACAGGATACTCGAGCCAAAGAAGGATCCAATGCTTCGCTCTTGTATGATACAAGTAGCTCCTGTAGCGGTTTAGCTTTTCAAATTTCGGCACGCACTATAACCACACTGAACCAAAAGGCATACCGACAACTGGAGCCACAGACAGTCAATAAGAAGGATGTAGCTATTCCAGGAATGGCAACAACTGGAGCAACAACCAGCGGAACACCATGGTGATGGGATGTGTGCAACTCGATCACGTGCAGTGGTGCAAGTGATGATTCATAAATGAGCCAGCTGGAGCCAGAACCCATACAACCAGCTTGAAGCTTTCCGCTTGACAGCAGCAACAAGGAAACATCAGCCAACACAACAACCAACAACAAAGCTGATCTCGTCTTAGAACTTTGGACAGCATCAATGTTGTACTGGACCGGCGTACCCCACCAATGTGAGACAACATTCAATTGGCTTTCTGTCTTGTGGTTCTGAAATCAAGAAAGCATCTGTCTCTTCGGTGGTGCTTCATGCTGGGGGAGGGATTGGTTGGTACCCACTGTTCTGTTATCAGTAATCGACAACAATCATCTGTTCCCCCTTTCCATGCAAATTCCATTACCAGATCGAAATCATGGCATCTGATTTTCTTCTCGTAGCTTTTTCACATTGGATTCCATGATATTTGTCATGGCTACTGGAATCTGCGTACAGAGCAATAGGTGGGTGCTTTACCATTGCTGTGCCAACCTGCTCAAAAGCCTCCGTATACCTGATTGAAAAATTGGTCCTGCCACTGATTTTTTCATAGTGGAGCCCTGCCAAAAAATGTTTTAACTAGCCCCCTTTGAAACCCCCAATCATAAAGTCGCGAGGAAACCTCACGGACTAGCTACTAGCTAGTAAACTATTTGACTCTCGGACGAGCGCGTTCGCTTCTTGTTGGATGCAAAGGCCTTCGTACTCATACAGTGCATTCGTACATTCTTTTCCGGACAGCAAGCCATTGATTAACAGCTAGCTAGTAGACGACAGAGTGCTTGTCGGTCAAGTTGCAGCATTGCTAAGATACCGTAGCTGGAAGTGGTTGCATCGATCTCAAGTCAGTCGAACTACTGGACCGAGACCATCCACCTCCAAACCTAAGTGCAGTCTTTCCATCATTGATTTCAAGTACCATACGACGGTCTCCTGATCTACCGTATCGCTGTGAGTGGTCTGATTGTCTGGCTCCATTCGACTTGATCTAAAGGATTAGTCAGCTAAGAAACGGCATCCGTTATCTTGGTGGCAGACGCAATCCTCCTGCAAAACACAACAAAACTTTGGTTCATATACCCCTCTTCGAAGCGACTTTGCAGGTCTTACACGGCATTGCCTCTACTGTCATTTCCTCGCGGACAATCTATCACACAGAGAAACAAAGAGCAATGGGTAGCACTCAGCCTGCAGACGAGTCCACGCCAAAAATGGTCGACACCGAACTCCACCACGAGGAGGGAACGGCTGGGGAAAGCACTTCCGTTTGGAACCAACCAATAAGTCACGACGCAACAGCAGCAGCAGCGTCCTCGGATGTAGGTCTCCAAGAAATGGACGACTTCATTGCAACGTATGGAAGTTGCGAAGACGACGACAATAATAATGATGGCCACCATAGCGACTCGTTTGTCGACGATTATCTGCGAGAACAGTCCAATGCCATGGTCGAAGAGATTCAACGTCAACTAGACGAACAAATCCAACAGGCATTGCAGGAACAAATAGATCAACAAATGGAAGACTACTTGCAACGAGAAGAACAAGAAGAAATCATGCACGCCGATTGTTGGGAGCCTCCAACCGACAATGGCATGACCGCGGATCCAAACTTGAGCTTTTTGAGTGACCGTCTGGCCAAGGCGGTGCGGCTGGAGGCCGCTGTCCCAACGGTGGCAGAAATCAATGCCGATATTCAGAAAATTGTAGATCGATATCGAACCAAAACGGAAGGGGAGGATACTAGTGGTCACGAAGGTCTCCAGAAGGGTTCAAAACGGTTACTCTTTTCATAGACGAATGCATGCCAGCCAATCGCGGACTCCACCTGCTCATTTATTGGAGAAAGTATTGTAGGATTCAAGGTAGGACGTACGATATGATAATATAGCTTTAGAGACCGCCTTACTTCAATGATGGAAGTCGTCGACTGTCAAAAGATCAAAGCCGAAGATGTATTTTATTAGGTTTCCCTCAGAGCTACGACTTACGATGGCTTATTCAGGATCTTTTGGATGGCGTTGAGTGTGGGGCCAGCTAACTTAGCCTTGTTAGCAAAGATGCATTGAGTTCTCTTCGTGAAATAGAAACCAAAGCTCGAAAACCCCACCAGCTAAGGATTTCAGCGATGGGAAGGCAGCCCAAAACCGGCAGATTGCTTGCCAAAACTTACGAGACAACACTCGGGTCGACGAGCAGCTCGTGGCACTCGGATGACGATGGCGGTGGTATAGAAGGTATGGTACTGGTACCGTACGGTAAGCACTGGCCAGAATTAAGCTACGGTAGGATTCGATCATCATGAATGGATGCGGTGCAAGAAGTGGAAAAAATCGAAATGCTCATTGAACAACTTTTGCTGCGCTTGTCGTTACTCAGGCGACGATCAGGACTGGATGCAACTCTGGAAGGATGTTGCCTTTACCTAGTACATGTACTACCGGTACGTAATTAAGCTCTCCAGCCGATATCGTAGCGCTTTGAACCAATTGCTTGAAGCACCCGCTAGCCTTCATTTCTGCGACCAGCCAAGAAGGTACTTTGCCAGTTTGAGGAACCCAAACCGACGAAATTTAAACGCTTTGTTTCCATAGTGCGTGTTTCTAGTTAAGTTTTATGTAATATAGCCATCGCTCAGTGAATGCAGCCTAGATTCCACGCGGCAATCTTCTGCAGTGCAGCCAAACGACAAGCGATGTCGTTCCCTTGATTTATTATAGAGCGCAAAATTTGCACGATACTGTCCTTTTCCTCTTGTTCCAAAGAAGCCCCTTGCACTGGACTGGTGGGCCCCTTTACTCGCGTTGCCACAACATCATTCTTTTAGTCGTGACCTTGTCAACCGTGGGCAAACCCAGCTTGGTGCGCATGCTGAGGCAGCTTTCGTCTCCTGCAGCGGAAAGTCTTGCTGCGTAGGTATGCGGATGCACTAGGCTGCCGTCGCAAAGCTCCACCATATCTTCCTCTTCCTTGCAGTTTCTCCAATCAAACCTGTCGGCCTTGTACTCGAGCCTGTTACGGCGAGCTTCCTTGCGAATGCGCTTCTTCGAGTTCCATTGCTTCTTGCGGTCACTTTCGCAGTAGTCTTCGTGGGAGGGGATCTCTACAACCTGAACAACGGGTTGAAACTTGATGGAAGGAGTTCGCTGAGAGTCTTGCATCTCGTCGACATCGCTATCGCTACCGACAAGGACAAATCCATCGTGCTCTTGTTCGTCCGCCACGCGCGTACCGGGGTCCTGTAGCTTCGCTTCATAAGCGACGCGAATGGCGGGGTCAGGCAACCTTGGAAATGCCGTTGGGCTTGGAGGAGGTGGTCCAACATGTTGCAACGAAAATTTTGACGACGGCGCTGCTGCTGCTGCTAGAGCGTCCTCTTTTGCCGTCGCTGCTCGAAGCGATTCGTGCAGCATTAATACTAGCTTTCGATTGAGACGCATCGCTCGAAGCCGAGACCCAACTTTCGTTTTCTTTTGATTGCCACTATTACGACTTGGACTCTGGCGGCCTTTGGAACGGTCGACTTCGGAGTGACTTGGCTTCGCAATCATTGTTTGGGCTTTTATGTGTAGTGGTTATCAAACTGTGGAACTCTGTTGCTGTTTGTTGTTATTTGCTGAGAGCTTGCTTGTTCACTCGTTTCAATCGGGCGATTCGAATGGATTCATTCCCTGTCTTGACTGGTCTGGCGCGCTCAGAGACAGGAGCGAAACAGTTTCTCCGACCACACACGTTTAACAGCTCAGGCACTGGCACGTACCACCGCTCCACACGGCATGAGCAGACATGATGGGACTCGGACGTTGAAGGAAATGATGGCGTCAAGCACTCCTCAACACAAGATTTCCGAATGTGGAAGTGGATCCTTGGGTGCTGACTTACATACTTTTGCAAGCTAGCTAGAATGAGGAGACCCAGGCTGCCCAGCACACGGTAAGGTAAAATGCTTGATAGCAGCTAGCTAAATCATGATATCCAAAGTTTTCTTCAGGGTCTGCTCTATAGTCATCTTGCATTGCAGCTAGCAGTCAGATATTTCATGAAACCAGATGCTACCGAAAAGATTCTGCATCGAGCACCCAATGCAGCGGATCTTGCTGCTTCTTGTTCGTCCAAATTTAGGTTTTCAACTTGCAGCGAATACCTAAAAGTTACAATGTATGTCTATGTGGTGTGTTTTGCAGCAGCCATTATGTACAGAGTGTTGGCTGGTTGAGTGGGGGAAGTACAGTGCAGAAACACACAACAGTTGCTGTCATGATGTGTGGTGGCTGCTTTTCTTGCTCGTCCACCCAGAGAACCACGTGATCTGAAGCCCAATTCTTCATCCTTGACTTCGTTCTTGACAGCTTCAGCAGATTCTCTCTTTTGGGTTTCTTCATCAAAGAAGGGCTCCAGTGGAAGATGGACGTTGCCCTTGGATATGAGAGGCCAACAAAGACCCAATCCAAAAGGCATGCCAGTAGCACACAAGGATCCAGGATACCCCAATGCAAGCCAGGAATATGGCTGGACCAGGACAAATCCTAGAGATGCCTCATCAAAGACCAAAGCATAGAGCACCAACTATCAGTTGCACATCAATATCGTTGTTTGTTGAGATTTGGAAGCAAGGTACCCTCATTGGAAAACAGGATGGACTTGGAAATGATCCATCTGTTTTTGGATGCATTTGTGATTCATGGAAGCTTGGAACAGCAAATGCCACAAGAGTGATGACGAAGATGACAACTGCTGCAAGCTTGGGCAAAGCTGTCAGTCAGTGCCATTCAAATCGCAAGAAAGAAAGGGCTTGACTTGGGAATGTCCATTTTGGTTCCTGGATGAAGCATGCTGTCAGGATACCGAACACAAATGAAAGTGATGACTGAGGCAAGAGAAGACTTGTTGAACCTGGCCAGGTCACAGATTCCATGGCAACTGGTCCCTACTTCCCAGGTTGGTTCCAGAGCCAACTAGCAGACCACCCTCTCCATAGGCAACCGGTGAGGGTTGGGCTGTGTCACCGCCACTTTGTGCATGTGTGAATGAAGGGAAAAATCGATTAGAGGTAAGGTTTTCGATCCACATCCATTTGCACCACCTTCCACTTTCCACTCGTCAACCCTCGACCATCACATAAGGTACATCTTGTACCAGTACTAGCTACTAGTATCAGATTATTGAGAGCAACCGCCATGACAGATACCACCGCATCCGCCGACGTCACCACGAAAAAGCCACCAGTGTTCCAACCCCAAGACGATTGGACGTTGATATCTCAAGGCGCCGAAGCCCGGATATGGAAGATCCCCGGCACGACTGTGAAGGTGGCGAAGGAACGCTTTTCCAAAGCCTACCGCCATCCCACTCTGGATGAAAAATTGACCAAATCTCGGTGTCGTGCCGAAGGACGCATCTTGGAGAAATGCCGCAATCCCAAAGATTCCAATTTGGTCATTGATGTCCCTCAAGTGCTCCGTATAGAACCGCCAGTGCTGTATCTCGAGTTTTTGGAGGGGTTGACCGTGCGAGAATATCTAGAGGATCACTTGTTGTTGTCGTTGAAGGACGACGATGACACTGAAAAAGCAAGCGAACTGCATCAATTAGCACAACAAATCGGGAGCATGGTTGGGAAATTGCACACTCTTGGGTGTATTCACGGGGACTTGACTACCTCCAACATGATGCTGCGAGGATCTCAGCCACAAAGCAAACGAGCCAAGACCGAAAACGACAACAATGTCAGCAAGCACAAAATTACGCTGATTGACTTTGGATTGGCCAAGAATACCACCAGTGCCGAAGAACGAGCCGTGGACTTGTATGTTCTAGAACGAGCCCTGACATCCACACACCCCAAACTACCCCAAAGCTTTCTGGAAACAATAATGGAGTCCTACAAATTAGAACCGAAAAAGGCTGCCGAGGCTACTCTTCAGCGATTAGAACAAGTTCGATTACGAGGTCGAAAACGAGAGTGCTTTGGGTAGCAAACTGACTTCAAAAGTAACTATTTCTTTTCTATCATTACTTCTAACCAAAATTAGGAGCTTGGTATTTGCATTCGTGGCTATGCCGCCCCCTCTTCTTCGGCCAACGTGGGTTGCAACAGTTGCATGAGTCTCTTTCGTTCCGCACTGCTCATGTCGGCACCCTTCCATTCACGTTTATTCATGTACGTTTCCGACATCATTTCTTCCAATCGACTTCGCGTCCGATCAAATGCAAACACTTCGTCATCTTGTGCATGATAATTTTCGTCCACGGTGAAGATCCGATCCACAGGAGTCGCTGCCTGCAGTACCAACAAGACCTTTCTCTCGTACATGGCATCGACAAAGGTAATGAATCGTCGGACCCAATTAATGTGTTGGAGCGTGAGCGGTGGAATATCATGAACAAAAATAGTGTGAAAGTGTTGTCCCATGATCAAATAGTCGGCTGCTCCCAGTGCCTTTTGACAGAGATCTCGAAAAGAAAATCGTGCCACCTTGTCCTTGAGACTGGCCTCCTTCACATGCACCGCACGACGCCCACCATCTTCTGTCATGAGCGTCGTGGATTGCACGTTTTTGGTTCCACCGACGAGTTTGAGAAACAACTCGTCATAATCGGTACGTTCCTCGCCACTACTAAAATACACTTGCTGCAATTCCCCGGCGGCGACGGCACTTTCTCTCATTTCACTCATGAGCAATCGATAATCGATATCCGATTCGACCATGGAAATGACGTCGCATTGTTCTTCGAGCAAATCAATAAAGGGAAGGAACCGATCGCGTTGCAGACCATTCAAATAGAGATCCCGCGGTGGTCGATTGCTGGTGGCCACCACGACGCATCCTTGTTGCCAAAGGCCCGTAAAAAGTCGTTGTAAAATCATGGCATCTCCCACATCGGTGACTTGAAATTCGTCAAAGCAAATGAGACGACCGTGGTTCTGTAGTGTGTCGCGTACAACCGCAGGGATAATGGCATCGGCGACATTTTGTTCTTGTTTGGTGAAGCTATAGCGTGCTTGATGCATTTGGGAATGGACTCGTAACATGAATTTGTGAAAATGGACCTTTTGTTTGGTCTTGCTCCATTCGGGGAGTCCTTCTTCCGGTGTAATGGAATCGTAAAACAAATCCATCAGCATGGTCTTGCCAGTCCCTGTACCACCGTGCAGATATATGCCTTTGGGCAGATGAGGTGAATTGTTGCTGTTGGTAGTATCATCTTCTGTAGAAGTAGAACTACTGCCAAACCAAGAGGACCAAGAAGACGATGCAGTAGTAGTAGTGGTGGTGCTAGTGGGTTGGTTGAGTTGAGTGGGTGGTTTCATGAGTTTGAGTTCTCGTCGCAAACGATCCAGGGATCGGAGTGTGTGCAATTGAATGGGATCTTCCTTCATGCCTTCATGTCGAACCATGTCGCGATACAAGGACCTCAAATACGACTTTTCCTCGGAGTCTGCGGAGGCAGTACCATCATTATTGGACAGCAGCAATGGAGCTGTAGTGGAATAACATCTCACAGCTGGCAAAACTTGGAGCGATGGAGGATTCCGTCTCGTTGGTATTTTTGCCACATCCGAAATAATGTTGGTCTGGGGCACACGGGAAGGGCTTGTCGTGACAGACAGACATTGGGTGGAAGTCATTGGCATCCATCGCCTCCGCCTCATTAAACCAGAAAGGGAAACACTTCTTCGCATCATCGTCTCAAGTCAAAATTCCTCTAATCTCTTATTATCTTGCTTGTCTATTCCCTTCCTATTAGTGTTCGCACTATCGGCTTTTTCCTCTCGTGCTGACCTGAATTGTTTTATGACTCTCACACCAGCAATTGCCTGGTTTTCAGGCGGATGGGCAGATGCCGATTGCCGATGATGCGTGGGAGTTTTAGGAGAAAGCGAAGCCTTGTTCTTCGGTCGGAAGCCAGAAGAACGGTGTCAAGGCATTTGCAAATTTCTTTGATTTGTAGCTAGTATTGAATAATCAAAAAAGTGAAAATGACATTTTCAACGGAAGGGGCGTTTACGGTACCACCACAACCGGTACATTATCGGTACCGGTACCATCGTCGTCACCACACCAAACCACCCATCATCAAACATCAAAAAGATCTGATCTAAACAACCACCCAAGTCTACCAAGATGTTATTTCGTTTGACTTTTCTCGCCTTTGCTCTAACAGCTACCGGTACATGTACTACTGTCACGGCACTGCGGGTAATACCAGTGATGCGACCGCAACGACGACAAGTGGCAGCGAACAGGCGGAAACCGGAACCGACAACGGCGAAAGTTCGACGTCTGCAGGAGCAAGCATCACTGCTACATGTATCATCCAGACGTTTGGTTCTCTGTTTGTGGCAGCACTGCCGGTCGGAATGTCCATCCACTAGCTAGCTATCTATCTAGTTCGAAACAAATATCCTTTACTGCCTCAAGTATAGTTGGCTGTAGTAGTACCGCAGCAAGGATGGCGAAGTCTCGCGGCACCTGGACGCGTAGTCAATGCCATAAAATTTCAAGTGGCACCATGACAGGGCAGTTGGCCAGTGACAGTGGCCATGCTGATCTGTTCCAATCATCAATTGTAAGAGCAGAGCCGTCGGCGACAAAACCGACTGGGAAGCCATGGGTGGGTGACAGGAGCAGAAGTTTTGATGCACATGATGGCCTAGCTACAAGCTGCTGTGGCGAGTTGCCTCGGAGCTCTTACCGGTATATGCAACCCAAATCCCCACCTGGCGAGACTCGCCACTGAGATTGTCAGTGGCCCCTTGGCTGTCGATAGTAAGAGCACCCTCCCGCTACATCCCAGCGAACGAACGCTCCGGGGGGCGCCCAGCCCTCGTCCCAGACTGATGGACTTGAGTTCTAAGTACTAGTACCTGTAGTAGTTGAAGAAATTCTATCAAGCAATTACTGGTGCTAAGCATCGCCCGCACCCCAGAAGCAAGGAATCTCGTCCGCGCCCCTGCCGTGTCCCCCTCTCTCTCATTTCTTCCGCAGTCGCTGCTTCTTGGGTTGTTGCCGTGCCTTTTTGGTTCCATCAAGCGACCTCTTCGTACCGCTTGCGGTGGGCTCTTGTGGCTCTTTTCCCAATATAACCTCATCATAGGCTTCTCTCATGTGACGTGCCGATTCCATGGGATCCATAGCTCCGATACCCGTTCCCAGGCCAGGTACCCCAACAGATGTGATTGGTGTCTGGTGTTTCTCTCCAGCCGTTTGGTTGTGCTTTTGGACCACCCTCAAAACGGCTCGAAAGGCCAAGTACGCATTCCGACTTTTCTTCTTGAGCACCATGGGTGTGACCATGGTGGGAGCCGATATCCAATAATCCCAATAGACTTTGTTATCATTGCTTGATTGGATGACTGGCAACAGAAGAGCATCCCCAATTTCTGTTTTGTATCTACCCAACTCCGACATTTTGTTCTGCAACTGCTCCTCCACATCATATCCCAAGGCTGGAGTGAAAAAGGCGTCAATGCCGCCATCCATGTATCCGTAGGAGTTGGCCGGTGAGACCAAGGCCGTGGCGGGGTTTTGAAAGAGGTCGCCGTTTTCGGCCACGTTCACTCCGTCAATGTCGGAAAAGGTCTTTGCCCAGGCATCGCGAAGGGATTGGTTCGTGTGAGCGCACAAAATATAGCTCACGACTATTTTACTTTTCTCGATGTGATCCGCGGTTGCTTTCGATGATGGTACTGATGAACTTGGTACTGACATGATGAAGAAATAATGAGGCTGCTGTACATGTGCTGTCTGGTATGTGAAACCGTTGCCATGCCCCAACGTTTCAAGTCGTCTCCACATGTTGCTGGAGCATCATTTAGTATCCCCGACTGAGACTTGGCGACATCGCCCCACTCTCTTGTCGCCTCGGACAGAGTTGCTGGGACAAACGCGAAGGACAAAATTTCAATTGGATTTAGGTTCTGATTTGGGCCCTAACTCCTGTATCGTGTCACACTTCTCAGCCGTTTCTTTCTTCGGGCAAAACCGGCGTGAGAAGACTGGCATCGGCAAAAAGGTATCCAACCGCAAAAACCGCAAGACCATCAAGCCTGGAACCAAGTGTGCCCGAGGTGGTTCTTCTTCTTCTGGATCGAAAAGACTTCGATCTCTTGATGCCAATTGACGAGTTGAGGGCCAAAAAAATTGAATGGTACCACAATTCTCTTTTCTGTTGGCGGTTGTTGTTTTGGTTTGCCTCATCCGAACTTGATCATTGGTCTTCGGATAACAGACCCGGTGAATCCCTAATCTTCGTCAACTTCTTCTCATTGTGGTACCAAGCGATCAAGAGAATCTAGCAAGCCTTGCGACTACATCGGCGGGCTACTATTGTTGTTGCTGTACCATAGCTGGTGAGAAGGTTAACAAGACCTGGAGCTAGCAGCTGAGAAGATACCATCTCTCTCGATATCTTCTTCACTTGTCACACAATTCTTCTTGCATGGTTGTTGTGACTGAGCTGAGCCACTTGCCAGATTGCTACTGGTAGCTAACGATAGCTACCCCCAAAGCATTCTCTTCTTCAGAAATCCAAATGCCAACAACCACAAACTTCATCTCTGCGTGATACTGTCTACTCTTCTTGTAACGAACAAACGAACAAAGCAAACATGCCTTTGACCAAACATTCTTGGGGACTGACGGCCTTGGCGGCCACTTCGGGCATCGGAGCCTGGCTGATTTGGAAGACTCTCCACGCCACCAACGCCAAGACCAAGCAGAAGCATCATGGAAGTCCCCTTAATATTATCGTTGCCGCCAACAAAACGACCATGACGGATGCCTCGGAACGATCCACCACCAGCACTGCCACCACTCTGACGACTTGCTCCACATTGGGCGAGGAGGAAATCAAGGAAGCTTGGGAAGGAGGCCACGAGAATATCAATCTCAAGATTCTTCGACATTTGTTGGAGGCCAAACAAGCCCGTCGCAAGAGCCGAAAGCGACAGAATAACCAATACTCCAAACTCAACCTCTTTTCCCATCTCCTGACAAGACTCGAAACTACCCTGGACGAACAAACTCGCATCGAGACCAAGTTGTTGCGTATGCAGCAACATCAACCACTGGCTCTTCCTCCCTCCACCACTCCCATTCCGCAGCAGCCAAGCAGCCACAACAATTCCACCGTCTGCATGGTCGTCCAGCGTTATCGAGGTGCCACCCTGTTGTGCGACGAACAGGAGATTGTCCGGGTAGGATCCAACACGTCCGTCGACCACACGCTGTCAATGACAAAACCTTCGGGCGGCAAAGCCTATTGCGGCTTGTTGATTTACGTGAGCTTTGCCCAGGGTTGTACCCAACAGGCCGTCAAGGCGGCCTCCAAGATTGTGGTCAACTTGCCTCTCTTGACATTGGGAGGATGGGGTGATGGATCCAAAACCATGAATGTTATCGACTTGGCCAAAAGTCATCCCAACGCTGCTTCGATTACCATTGTACCACAAGCCAATCTGATCAATAAGGTATGTTCCGTGCCAAACCGTTTCGGATATTTCATTGTGGCCTGCTCTGCAGAGACTGGTTCTAACACAATCGGTTGCTCATTATTATTATTGTCTTGTGTTAAACCAACAGATCAAGGGACAGGGCAAATCGATTCAGTACCACGGACAGATTGACAAGGAAGAAGGCAATGCCCTTTACCACTATTTTGTCAACTCGATCCGCGGCTTGGTGTTGGAGCAGCAATGCAAATGGCGAGACCAACCACTTCCCGATTGGTATGCCAAGGCATGCTCGGCTCAGACGGGGACCACACCGGAACGAGTCTCCCCAGCGATTCCTCCCGAAGACCTCTTTCGCACGCCCATGTACAAATCTTGGGATGAGAAAGGTATCCCCTTGACGGATTCCGAGGACGAACCCATGACCAAGTCGGCACAAAAGAGGCTCCGCAAGACACAAGCGGCTCATCGAGTTCGGCACTTGCGATACCACCAATACGTCAAGAACAGAGGTGGGGCGGAAGCACCACACCAAGAAAAGGAAAACCAGAAGCCCTCGGAGCAGTCATCACAACAGCACTGGGCCACGGCCATTGACGAATCATTTGTGCAAGTTGTTGCAGGATCCTTTGGAAAGAGACAGAGCTTGGAGTTCACCTCTTGCATGGGTCCCTTGTGTCACGTTGTCCAAATATAGACATTCATACCCGCCTTGTCGGCAGGCAAGCCATTTGCTTGTTGCGCGAGTGCGGTCAACGATTGGCTTTCTTTCTTCTTCCCTCCAAAACAGCCACAACCGTCTTGTTCTACTCTCCTCCTTCTCCCCTTCCCAGCTTCCCCCGCTTAACAGCCGGACAGAACAAGTTGAAGAACCCCGTCTTCTCTCTCTGACTGTCATACCTGGTACCGGAATACTGCACGGCTCCTCCTCGATCGAGAGAGACAAGCTTGGAGCATGTTATCTCAATTGCTCCTCCTTTTCTTGCCATGTGGATGATCCACAAGCAGCAAGCCACCTTTTAGATTCATAGGGTTTGTGACGGCGAAGACCACATTGCACACTGCAGTGCCCACACCCCAGCGAATACACCAATTTTGCATGAAATATATACTACACATACATATAAACTAGAACTCTTTTATTAACCACCACGGACCACACCGGTGGAAAATTATACGTTGCCTGCTGTTGCTTTGTTCCAAGCCTCGCCATCACAGCTTTCCCCTCTACAGCTCGGGTCGGAACTTTCGCTCGATCATCAAACCAACAGTAGTCGCTTCGGGTTTCTGCTTTACAACTAGATTTGTTTTAGTACTGCTTGTTGTTAATTATGTATTTCTATTATCGTTTGTAATATGAGACTTATTCATCACGGAAGATAATGAAAGCACCACATATCACCAAATCGTCTACCGGAAGCTTTGTGCAACGTATACTTCTGTGATCCCTGCGCATTCATGCCAGAAGCTTAACATCCATGATCGAAGTGACCGGTACTTCTTCTTTAGCTCCCTGCAGTCTTGACTTCCGATGATAGACTTTGGAAGACCTTCTTGGCACCGGACACCGGACTCCAGGAGCGTAGCACTTTGCTGTTGTTGTTGGGGTCGTCTTGTTCCCCCATCATGGTGTCAAGATGAGAAACGGGTGATTCCGACCGCGAACTGGCATCATTATCCACCCAATGATCTGCCAAGGAGCATCCATGAGACTCTTCGAATGCAGCCATGATGTCGAGGAGTTCAATGGAACTGCGTCTATCTTCGGGGGCAAGAAGTTGCACCACGGTTGGACTACTAACATTATCTCTTTCGGTGGACATTTTGCGTTGATGTTTCTGATCTTTATAACGTTGAACAAGTGAGCGATTTGGAGATTGTTGCTTTGTGAATGGTGATTGTTTCAACATGTTGTTCGTCTCTCCAAATTCAAAGGAATATTTGAACGACTCTTGTAGAGGTCCAAAGAAAAATTTGCTTCACCGACAAAAAAATGAGAGAGGAAGCTGTAAACCATCGCGAAAAAAGACGCTCTCGCTCGCCGCTTTAAATCACAGTACAAACGCCAGAAAGTGATTACCGTACGGGTTCCAAAGAATATTTAGATCTACCTAATACCGCCACCGGTACCTACTGGTGACAATAATGCAGTAGCTCATCAAGGTGGCGCACAACCGGATGCGCACCCAGCCATCAGCACGAGCCAGTAGAGTACGGAAGCCCTCTCCATCTACCTCAGTTGGCCAATTGTGGCGTCCAAGTGCGCCAGTAAGAGTCGAGTCCAGAACTGGAACTACATGTACATGTACATACGGTACCAGCACTATCCGTGTCGTACTGTACGGTACCGGTGGGGGTGCGTTCAGCTCAGTCCTGTCTTGAGAAGTACCCTAACACAACACAGACATTCAGAATCGGAACGCACTGTACAGCGTACCAGCCTCCAACAATGTGCAGTGGCGCCTCCAGCGCCTACTATTTGCAATGCAATGATTGATACCAGTACGGTACAGCAAGGCACGAGCAGGGCTCGATCGATGGCCGCGGGATGAACCATTGACGATCTGAGCGCAGCAATCAAACTATTCACTGCATATCCCATGGCCAATCAGAAGTACCCTTTACCACATCTTTCGCTACCCTATTTTTTCGCTAGCTGATGGACTCGACTCGACTCGACTCGACTCGACTCGACTCAACACTTCAAAGCTGCTCAAAAACGGTTTGAACGCACACTGTTTCACTTGAGAATTCCTTTTTTCAGTGGACAATGTTGCCGGTACATGTACGTGAACCAAGGTGCTCAGTGGACACTCTGACAGCAGTCCCGAACCCATAAGTAACTTCACGCGAAATCCTTGGCTCCATGCTTTCCTGCAAAAAGCAGTATGAAACAGCTTGCAGAACACTGCTTGATCAGATCCAGGCGGTCATGGTCGATGGCTGTGTCGACGGAGACACTCACAAAACCATCAACAAGAGCGCTCGGCAAGATTGACGTAACGAAGAGGTCGCCTAAAACTTTTCGATTGATTGGAGTCTACACGCATTGCTTGACTGATTGGCAAAGAGGCACAAAGTGTTGGCAGAAGATTATAGGAAGAAGAAGAAGTATCGTCCACGAAAGAAAGAAGAAGGAACAGGCAACAAGATGGAATCCACAGGTGACAGCAAAGTAGACCAGATCACACAGCTCAAGACCTACTTGTCGGCGATCGTTGCAAAACAAGAGGAATTGAAGAAAGCCTTGTCGATCAAGCACGAGAAAGCCGTTGCGGCTCGACGTGTCAGTACGCAAATTGAGGGCGGATCTTTGAGAAATTTGTTGGTCGAACGCGACGACGAGAATCACACGGTAGATGTGGTAGAGACGCCAGGAATGCAAAAGCGATTGCAGGATTACTGCCACAACGTGGAAGAACTCGAAAAGGAATTGGCAGAGACGACAAAGTTGGTCAATGAAGTGACAGTGGCGCTCGCTGTCATAACAGGACAGGTTTCTTCATGAGCACGCCAGACTACTAAACGCGACATCCATACTCCTCGACTTGGAAGAGAGTGAGATTTTGGACCTCGTGACAGGAGGCGATTTGACTAGCAGCAAGAGCCTTGCGCCCCCGCCCGGATGGATACTGGTGACAGCCATTGGAATGGATCCACCGCTGGAAAAAGATTTCGGTTGTTTGAATGATTGATTGATTGAATGAATGAACGATAGGAGTTTTTATTTATAGCACAAAATTGCATGAACGACAATGATTTTTTCGAAATTGCTCCTGCTCCCGGAGATCTTGCGGCGCCTTTTTTGTTCTGTGCTTTTTCCGCAAAAGAGAGGCATCAGGTCTTCTGTTGTCGCATCAGTCATGTCGAAACGAACGATCTCATGGCACAGTGCTTGCAATCCTCGTTCGTGCGCGCGGTGAGAATATTCTCGCCCAAAGGAATGGCATTCATCGTAATCGTCGGAGCCAATAAGACAGCAGCGAAGTCGTCGGCTCAAAAACGTCCTTGGGGACAAAGGCCGCCACGAGACGGCTTGGCCGTCGGGGTCGAATTTTGGCCTGATCGGCAACCAATCGTTTTGCCCTCGTAGGTCGATTAGGAATATTATTTGCAAGGGTCCAGTGTGGCTGTTGTCGACCTGTTGGGGACATCGCAGATCCCACGCTTGGCTTGGGGTGTGATCTGCGGGCCTGCTTTCGAATACATGTAGGGCCTCGTTCTGGTGCCTGCAGGCTAGCACGTCAAAAGCTGATCTCGTGAGGCCGGAAACGCGACGCATGACCTTCGTTTGAGACCGTACGGTACTGGTTTGGATCTAGGATCTCTCGACCTTCCTCCCAGCCCCATCAGCTACAGGTAGCTCACGAAGCTTTGCTTGCTTTACAAGCAGCTGGTGCTGCTTGTGAACCTGAGTTTTACCGGTACTATGCTTGAGATATGTGGGTACATGCTCAGCTTTTCATACGGTACCCGGTACGAATAGAGAGTATTCATTCATACAGACATCTTGCCAAGTTCGGGCGGGCTACCGGTATTGTGGACTTGTCGTCAACGTGAAGTGGTACCCGTACCGGTAGCCAATCTCGAGCTAACTCGTTCGCTACAAGTAAGTGATACCGTACCGATATGGTTCTCCATGCTAGAGATCTCGTTTCTGGCTTCCATTGAAGCCTGCGTTGCAAACAGACACATCCACACAGACTATGAGCCTTGGGGTACCGGTACGATCAACCATAAGGAGAGTGGAATCTTCAATCATCCGCACCAATCAAACGAACAAGATACGGCCTGCAAGATCCTCTGGGATAGTTCGGATGACAAGCCACCCCCAGTGTTCCAGACTCTTACTTGTCAACCTTTTCCATGCCGTCCTGTACTTTGACAGATCCAGTGGCAGCACTTTGGCGGTGACCTACAGTAAAGTACCGTACCGTAGGACCCACCGAGGAAAACTTCAGGGTCGAAGCGTCGAATCTTAGCCGCCTGGCCTTCGCCCGTGTCTCCCAACTCCTCCCCTCACATCTTCATTGCGACTGACGCTGTTGGACGTTGACTATGAGATAAGACAGATCTACTCGATAGCTAGCTAGAGCTATTCCAAAAGTACATATGACAATCACCATGAGCACTCCCCGAATGATTCGGTTGTGCCGACGTCGCGGTGTGTGGCTGCCGAGACGACAACTGAGCAGCATCAATGTCCGTCACCAACAACCCCAGTGGACGCCGCCACCGCCCCCTACGAGTCCTGCCATTGTGTCGACCAATCCAGTTGCCTTGCCGTTTTTGCATTCTCGTAAAAAGCTCGCTCCGGCTTGTTTGGACCCCAGCGAATTGAAGGATCATACCGACAAAATCTTGCAAACGGCCGTGGGAGACTTGATTCCCTTTCCGCGTCATCACGGCACATTGGATCGCAGCACCACTGACGAAGGTGCCTGGACGATTGGCGAGAATAGCGTGCAACAGGTGGAATATCTCATGCGAGGTCATGCCGCGCAAATTCCGGGAACTCTTTGGCAGGGATGGTCGAATTCTGGCAATGGTGATACTAGTGGTAGTAGTAGTGACCCCTTGACTTGCTTGGAAGCCATGGATGCCTTGTTGGAGCGAATGGCCGAAGAAGGCACGTATTACATGCAAGTGAGGAAGGAACACTTGAGTCAATTGATGTGGGAAGAGTCGCTAAAAGACGAGGAAGACGATGCCGTTGCGGCAGATTGGAGACAATTTGCTAGAGAAGATACCATTGTAGACGACGATGATGATGACCCGGGTGCTAAAACATCCACAGAATCCACCACCTTGGAGGAGGATGGCGTCTATGACGATGACGATGACGATTTGATGTTGGACTTTGCCTCGCCTGGAGCTACAGTCAACATGTACGATATCTTTTTGGATAGTCTGGCGGTCACGGCAGAGCAAGTGGGAGATCCACGACAATTTTCCGCCCGCAAGGCATCCAATCTACTGACCGCGCGACATGCCTTTGATGTCTTTGAGTTACTGTACCAGCGCCACTCCCTCGATGGAGGAGAGGAGAGCAACGACAACAAATTCACACTACCCACACAGATATCCTACAATGCCGTGCTTCGCACCGTTGCCAATCTGCATTTTGATGGACAATCCGAAGTCCACCGTGATTTGGCACTCATGGTAGCATTCTCCACCGACAATGCCATGCAGCAATCAAAAACCTTGGAACGCAATTCTGCCACCTTTGCCTATTTGCTGCAAGTCATTGCCAAGTACATTCCAGCCTGTGAATTTCGAGGAAATGTGGCTCACGCACTTTGGATGCAAGCCAAGTCCAGTGGCGTCTACAATGATCAAGTCATGGATGCATACTTCCAAGCACATGAACCGTCCAATTCGGCTAGACATGATGAATGGTTGGAGAAAAACTTGAAAGGGTTTGATTGGAGAACCGAGGTGCCTCAGCGGTGGCGTCGTCGAGTTCAAAAATACAGAATGGTGCCCAAGCAGACAACCTATTAATTACTACTAGTAAAACTAGAAGGAAAAGGAAGTGTGAAATGATCATGTAACTTATTGTACCTCTGGTAGCCTAGCCAGATCGGTGCCTACCGGTAGACTAGACTAGCTACCTCAACCTGTTTTTGGAGAGTGGAAGCCATCCCCTTTCCTACTGTTTCGGGGGTGGGCGAACGGCTTTTGGTTCATCGCTCTTGAATGAATCGGATCACTAGCGAGTCACGGTGGTGTTGGGTTATGGGTTGGCTTACTTAACGTCTTAGGCAAGTCGGGCGGGTTTGGATAAATTCTTAATGAACTCTCTAGCGGTGGTTGTTCTGATTGGTCCAAAAGTTGGTCGTCATCACCTGTTGACACTTGAAGCGGGGTTGCGAATCTCGGAGATTCGCGGCGTGACTTCTATTAAGGGTCAAGACTGACGGACTTCACGATTAAAACCGGCATACACTGGTTGACATGGTGAACATGACTTATTTAGGGGACGAGCGATACCACTTACTTGCTGGGTTGCGGTGAGCGAGTACAACGGGACTAGAAAGGGATAAGGGTAAAAGGCCTAGGATGGTTATAGCTGCCAGTCTAATGTCTTGATGGCCAAGGCTCGTAATTCGCGGTACATCGTTTTGGTGCTGTTCTTGAGTAGTTTGCGTCTTTTGCTGTAGAGGATGTCAAGGGCTGTTCCCACTGTTAGGGTTTCGATGTCACAATGCTCTGCTAGGTCGTTGTAGTGTTCAATGGCTTCGTCGCTATTGGGGTCGACGGCGAGTAAGAAGTAGCCTTTGATTTTCTTTGGTTCATTTACATAGACCGCTCCGAAGACGGTGGGTTTCATCAGGATGGATCTCATTGTCTTGATGTCATCGGCTTCAGGGTTGTGAAGGATGAACAATCCGTGGCCTAGATTGGTGTCGAGGGGTACTTCGAGGGCCATGGTCGGCGGTGGTTGTTGGGAATGGTGGTCCTTTAGTGGTCTCGGGCTTGGAGATAATGAGGGTTATGGTGGAGGGCGGTGGATCTATCAAAGAACTTGTTGCCTGTTACCACTTACTTGCTGGGTTGCGGTGAGCGAGTACACCGGGACTGGAAAGGGATAGGAGGGGGGTCTTTAATTAAAGTTTGGCCCATTCAGCTGTTACTACACTAAAAGAGTAGGGGGGCCATGGGTCCGAGGTGAGGTAATAATAGAAAATCTCACCTCGGGCCCACGGTTGCGGGAAAAGAGACTTGCGGGAAAAGAGAACAAGGTTGGTTGGTGAATCGTGTTTGATCATGAAGCGTGACGTTTGTGGATACGCTTATGGTTAGAGATTTTAGTTTATCGTTAGGGTTACTCTACAGTTACTGATGAGGGGGATAGGGTTACCCCAAGGCGGTCAGCTAGTCTGTATCTTGTGTTCTTTAGGTTCTTGGTGTGGAGTAAATCGCAGTTTGTCATGGCTATTAGCATGTTGCCTTGGATGGATGGGGGTTGGTCTAGATCCATGTTGTTGTCATCTTGGTGTTTAACGGTGTACATTGGGAACCAATTGGGCACGTTGACTTCTTCATCTTCGTGGATCAAGCAACAAAGGATTAGGGAACCATGTGCATGGTTGTAACTGATAAACCCTTCAGTTACAAACTTTCGTTTCATGAACTCCATCATGGTGATGTAATCTGGTAGGCTGATAATGTTGGAGGTGACTATCCACATTTTTTAACGATGGATGGTGTTATGAAGGTTGAAGATTTTGCTTTTGAGGTTAAGGAGGAGGACAAGGAGGACAATGGCGGAGCTGCCAGTGAGCTCCCGTCAGCTCCTCCCCTTAAGGTGGTTGAGGATGCGCCAAGTCTTACTACTGCTCCTACTCCTAAGGTGGTTGAGGATGCGCCAAGTCTTACTACTGCTAGCGTTCCTATGAATGTAGAGGAGATGCGGGCTTATATGCAGAACTACTATGGGACTCCTGTTGCTTTAAGACTTAAGGGTTCTATCACTGTAATATGTCCTTACTGTGGTGAGACACATGGACATGTTGATCCGGGTCATTACGTTGCTGAGTGTGATGAGCGTATACGGTCAAACATGGGACTTCTTATCGGAGGTCGGTCTTTCAACCCTAATTATGGGTACAGGGTCATTGAATACGTGGAACGGAGCGGAGTTAATGTTGTCTTGGACTAAAAGGGGTAGTGTTAATAAAGTGGTTGTTCTTGATTCTCGGAGTTTCTTGCGTTCATCGGGGTCTAGGTCGTAAACACTTTGTAGAGAGAAGGACATTCGGTTGTCACCTGTTTTCCGGGGTTCTGTGGATTTAGGAGGGGCAGGGGACATCGGTTGGAGTATTATGTGACATTGGTTTTTGACAGCTTTCTGAGGTTGGAGGGTTGCGACGAGGAGAGGTATCTTTGGGTGTGGGTGGTACTGTTACGAGGGGGGCGTTAGGACAGGGTGTACTTGTACCTTCCTTTTTTTGTTTGCGTTGTTTGCGCCAAGTGTCAACACAGGGGTTATTTTCTTTCACTGGTGTGCCGTTGAAATGATGGTACTCAAGTTTTCTTGCTGCAGAGAAGTTGTCGTATCCAGGAGGGTATGTCCACTCTTTTACCGTTTTGTTTGCTTTGGGAAACGGTGGTCGGATAGTGGTTGAGGCTGGTTTAGGGAGGAACATATGGGGTGTCGAGGGAGAGGAGGGAGGTGCATTCAGAGGTGATACGGCGATGAATTGGTAACGGTCTGCTGACAGCGCTTCTTTGTCGGGGTCTGAGTTGGTCATTACAACAACGTGTGGGCGGGGAAATCTCCATGTGTAAGATTCGTACTTGTTTACGAGGATGTTGCCGTTCTTCATTTCTTCTAAGAAATCGTACATTAGTGCAGATTCTGTCTCTTTGTGCGGTCCAACCTTTCGGGATTGTTTAGAGCGTGGGCAGTCTAGGATTACAGTGCGGGGGTCGAAGCCATTAGAGGCGGCTGCATATACCATGTCTGCTTTTTTGCCTGGTAGGGTTACTATGGTGTTGTCTGGGTACAGCTGGCGATAGTACTCGGTAAACCACGATTTGCCTCCGTTGCCTTGCTTGTCCAGTACGAAGATAATTTTTCGGTCGTCTGGGATGCCGTTTAGGATTTCTACTAGTTCTTGTTGCCAGGGGCGGAGGGGATGTTGCTGTTGTTCTACATTGGGTTTGTTGTCGATTATATATTCTGTGACGAAGCGGCGGTGGCGAGAGAAAGCGGAGGAATGATGTTTGCGGAGGTCGCGGGGGTTTGTCATACCTCCTTCGATTGCTTCCTTGATGGCGTCGAGGTCGTTGCGTTTACCTTGATGGTCAGGAAAGTCGCCGTTTTCGAAGCCTTCATAATTGAGGCCGAAGTTGGGGCCGTCGTCGTGGTGTTCGTCCCACTCTGCTTTGGTTTGTTCCCCTTTCTTGCAATAGTTGGCTGCTGATTCAGATGATTTGTTCGTTATTGCCCAATGGGCAGTGGCGTGGATTTTCTTCATTGCTACAAGTGTTTTAGTTTGGTTGAAGATGACGAAGCCTTGAAGGTGGGGTGTCCCGGACTGTCCTACTTCCTTACCGTAGACTATATATTTACAGGGAAGTGTCTTCATTAGAGTTACTTCTTCAGGGGTATAGTTGTTTACAATGAAACACCAACGGCGTGACTTGGGTGAAGGCATGGTTTTCGATGCGATGTGCGATTGGTTGAGGCTGCGGTTGCGGTTTTCGATGCGATGTGCGATTGGTTCGGCATTGTTGGGATGGATGCGATATGCGATTGGTTGAGGCTGCGGTTGCGGTTTTCGATGCGATGTGCGATGCTGCGGTTGCGGTTTTCGATGCGATGTGCGATGCTGCGGTTGCGGTTTTCGATGCAATTGGTTGACGATAGACGGTAGGCGATAGACGATACGATAGACGATAGACGATACGATAGACGATAGACGATACGATAGACGATAGGCGGTTTTCGATGCAATTGGTTGACGATAGACGATAGGCGATAGACGATACGATAGACGGTAGACGATACGATAGACGATAGACGATACGATAGACGATAGGCGATAGACGATACGATAGACGATACGATAGACGAGGCGATAGACGATACGATAGACGATCTTACGGTTGAGGGATAGACTGTTGAATTGGAGATGATGGTCTTGGGAAATTGGGTCTGACGAGAGAGGGAGAGAGAGAGAGCTCAATCGCCGCTGGGCTAATTATGAGAGAGAACAGAGAACAGAGAACAGAGGTGGCCTGTAATACTGTGGCCACCTCTTGTGTTCTTCTGAAGATGCGTGGGTTTGGGTTTGTTACAATTGATGGGTGGTGGGATTGCTTTGGTGGCGGTGGAAGTGGAACTGGGAACGAGCCGGGCGAGCCAGGAAGAAGAACGAGTCGGCGGAGAAGTCGGCGGGACGGAGCGTGGTAACTCGAAACTTTCTAACGTGGAGTAGGCACGCACGCTTGCGTTTCAGCGTGGGATAGGATGTACTTCGGTTTTTTGACTAGACGGACTGACACAACTCGACAAAGTCCACAACAACTCGAACGAACAGCAAACAGAGATTTCAATATCAACCATGGCTAATATTGACTACCGCGGAATCTGCATTCATGAAGACATTGAGCGTCCTTTGAAGGCTGTGATGTCTAAGGATCTTAGCACCGCGGTGAAGATTGAGTTCCATCTCACTGACGATGAGAATTTGTTTGTGATGTGGTTTGCAGGAGATGATGAGGTCTGTGGAGAGTACGTCAACGAATTTGACAACCACTTGCTACGCGGGCAATTCATGACGGCTTTGACGGCTTTGTCTGAGCTTCCTTTCAAGGTTATTAACCATGACATGGATGATGTTGCCGATGACGCCGGTGTTGGTGTCGATGGTGCTACCGATGATGCGTAGTTTAAGTTAAAAAAATTAAAGAAAAAATTAAAAGAATTAAATTGGGGAGGGGGTATTCTACACTTCATAGATCTTGTGAGAGTACATGTGTTCAATGAAGGAGTAGGGAGTATTCACTGGGAGGGGGCGATACCAGGGCTTTGTCTTGGCAGTGAGGAGCTCTTCGTTGAAGCGGATGATGGTGAGGGATAAGCGTGTTGTGACATTGAAGGGCTTTCCGAGGGTCTTGGCGCTGAGGGCACTCAGCAATACAGTTTTGATACGGTCCATGATAGTGTCGGCTTCTTCCATTGTTGGTTTAGTAGAGGGAAACGTGTCTAGGAACCTAACCATGACTCTGATGGCGGCCTTGATCTTGCGGTATCTGCATGCCGTAGGGTTATCTACCTTCGGGGTTGATGTGAAGGATCTCATGAAGTTGAAAGCGAAGAAATTGATGAAGACTACTTTGGGATCGATGTTTCTCGTAACCAGATCGAGGAGTGCTTGGAGTGGTTGGACTCCTAATTCATGCTGAAACGGAGAGAGGGAGTAGGCTTCGCTTGGTTTGGTGGGAGGTGGTGAGGCAGAAGAGATAGAGACGGTGGTCGTCTCGTCGATGAAGTTGGCTTTCGTGAAAAGGGCCTGACACGACGACTTGAAGTCGTTGAATTCTTCTAGGCTGGTTTCTTCTTGCACAAGTCGCTGCATGAGAGTCCTGACGAGGATGTGATTCCTTGGGTCCTTGAACAATCCATTGGGTTCTGCACGGATGTGATCTAAAAGCTGGTCCCACTTGCATAGAACACAGATTAACACCATTCGCTTGACTTGCATGCAAAGCATGTCATCAGGGATATGGCCGAAGAAAACAGTCAGGATCTTGTCGCCTAGCTCTTTCGAGACAGAGTCGTAGGAAGGGATGGTCACTCGTTGGTAATCACCACTGCTGACCTTGGAATATCCTGCCAAAGCTTTCGCCCCGTCAAGAAGATAGGGAAACGGATTGCTGAAATATTCAGAACGGGCCCCTTCTCCGATGTTCCAGCCTCCGTATAATTGAGCGGCAATGTGGAGCTTGTTGCCGTCCAGGAGGAACTGGGCAGTGTGTTTGCCAAAGTGGGATGTGCCTTTTCGTGCAGCAGCGTTCTCGGTTGGGGGATACCTCTTCCAGATGGAATCGAGGGTGCTTTTGTAGTGAGCGGAGACGGCTGAATCCCCATTTAGACCTGTGATTGATGGCATGAGGGATTGGTCATTGCGAAGGAACAAAACCAAACCGATCGCAACAGGGAGATCACCAAAAACATCGTACTTGTTAGGAATGAGTCGGTGGTGGTTGTCAACTCCCATCTTGTCGCGGATGAGATAACACTGGAGGATTTGGTTGAGGGATCCTTCACAGACCTCTCTAACAGAGAGGTTCTGTACAGAGAGGCGAGAGGTTTCGGTAGCCCTACTACAAAGCCGGAGGGTAGCTGTCTGGAAGACAAAGAAATCCAAAAAGGCGTCTGTATTGAACCAGAGACAACGGACGAGGATGAATGCGATGTCTGAAGCAGTGTACACTTTGTTCTTGGTGATGGGTGATGCTTTTTTTCGGTCTTTGACTTTTGCTTTCAAGGAGCTGAAGGCTGAGGCGTAGGTGGTTTCGATGACTTTCAGGTAGCGGGACAACATGAACTTCTTTGTCAATTGGTTCTTGATGGATGGCATGTAGCGTTCCAGGGTGCCTACGGCGTATTCACTTCCATTGGGCTTTTTGAGGTCGAACCAGAAGGCTGGTTGGTCTTTCCACCATGCAAACCACCACTTTGTTACATCGGCATCGTTCTCAGAAAAGGAACCACCCGTCTCAGTCAGATCTTCATAGTTGATGCTGGGCAGACTAAGTCGAAGCTGAAGGCTGTCCAGATAGGGTTGGATCTTGGTGGCAGTGCTGTTATGCTTTGACTGACATGACTTGGAAGCGGAGGCATAGTAGTCAACGTGAACTTCTTCGAGTGACGACCCGTTCGATCCTTGGGAGGAGACCATTGTCAAGGCAATCGAAGTTGTCAATAACAACGGGAGCGTCTTAGGGACGTCCTTTGGCCGAAAAAGTGGGAATTGTTAGAAGTTGCAACCACTCCTTGGAAGGGGGCCATGGGTCCGAGGTGGTGGAGGGTTGTCAATTCGTGACATGACGAGGTGTTCTATGTGTGGCTGGTGGCTATCATTGCTAGGGAGTGGAATCAGAACTTTCGAAACGGTCACATTCTCAGTTATTAGATGGACGGTTTCAAGCTTTCAACTGTTGACCCGGTTTGGAAAATGGCGCGAACTGCGTCAGATTCACCAAAGTCCGTCCCATGAAGAAATTTCCTACCAGGCCGTCGCCTTTGGATACCAAACGGTTTTGAGAGCATTAACCACTTTTGTTTGCCTCAGTCGTCTCGTTACCAGGTTCCAGTTTCCAGTTCCCGACCTCAAGCCACTTGGCCATCTTGGCATCACATGCATTGAATGAATCGAATCTACACTCGTCTCATAAGATAGTTGCTGTTGTCATTAGTATTGTATCGCCACGATGGAGTTGTATGAAGCATCCATTGCCCCAGGGTTTTGTGGTTATCAGCTTCCCGTCAAGGTTGTGGAAGCACGAAGCGTTGTTTCGTTGGGAGAATCCAATTTTCTTGCCCTTGAACGAAAGACCAATTCGGTCGTCTACTTTTATGATTCCGACCAGGATGGCTTGGCGGATAGTCGACGTAATGTGGCAAAGGCAGATCGATTGAACCATGGTTTGGCTATCCATGGTGACTATGTGTATGCCTCCTCCGACGTCCATGTGTACAGGTGGAAAATCAACAATGGATCCGATTTTCTCATCGTTGTGGAATCCCAGGAGCTTGTCATTGACAATATCAACGCGGATGGCATGGGTGGAGCTCCCCACGGACACACAACAAGGACACTGGCATTTGATGATCAAGGAAGATTGTATGTTTCCGTAGGATCTAATGCAAATGTTGACCCTGACAGTTACAGATCTCGAATCCGGCGCTTCACCTTGGATTCGGTTGAGCTACCCATAGACTTCCAGGTAGGAGAGGTCTTTGCGGATGGATTGAGAAATGAAGTTGGATTGGCATTTGACAGGCACGGTGATTTGTGGGGAGTAGAGAACTCAGCAGACAAGCTAGTCCGAGATGATATTGGTGGTGATATCCATGAAGACAATCCAGTGAGTGACAGACTATCTTACAAATAGGTTTGGTGCAAGAGAATGGGGACCAACAGATCACTCATGATCAAATCTGCTTTATTGTACATGTAGGCAGAGGAGCTGAATCGCTTCAAGGAAGAAGATAAAGGCAAGCATTGGGGGTATCCACAGTGCTGGTATGTACAGAACTCAATTGCCGTTCACAATGACATTTTCTCACTATCGCTTCTCCTTTGTGTTCCCAGGACTGAGTTTTTGGTTCCGCCTCCCCATGGTGAAGGTCAGGGGACCATATGGGCTTGGCCATCCTTTTTGGAAGCAGGAGCAATCTCCGATGAAGCATGCCGAGCTGATACCATCCCTCCTGTCGTGGCTCTCCAAGGACACTCTGCCCCACTTGGGATCACCTTCTATGAGTGGAAGAATGAAAGCCAGCTTTCTCCCAATTGTCCTCCAAGCACAGCATTCCCTCAGGAGATGGATGGATATGCCTTTATAGCCTATCACGGCTCTTGGAACCGAGACACTCCTACTGGGTACAAGGTGGTCTATGTCGAGATGGATGAGGCTGGTGAGCCCATCGGTAATACACCTATTGATTTGCTAGCACATGTCGCACCTGATGCCAAGTGGCCTTCCGGATTGAGGCCCGTTGATGTGGCTTTTGATGATTGTAGCCGTCTGCTGGTCACCAGCGATGGAACCGACTCCAAGGGTTCCATGGTGTTGAGGATTGAGTCGACAGATATCAACGGGACCTGCTACACCAACATTACATCCTCGGCACATGCGCCCACAAATTGGCAACGGAAGACCTGGGCCTTCCTCGTACTCCTCACGTGCGCGGCTTCTACATTCGCGGGTTGGTGAAAGAGTGGGCTACCCTACGCCATACACCCAAGCCAACCACGCAAATGCATTCATTGTGTCCCTCCTACATGTAGCTAAAACTAGAGGGATTCAAAGTCTGTATTTCTTATTTACTTCTCTTGTTTATGTAGTAGTTTATTCTATTCTCTGTTTATCGTGTATGGTATGTATGTCCATTGTAAAGTAAGTGTATAAACGACCCCATACTTGATCCAGCCATAGCGGCCAAGTAGGAATGACTGCGCCTTCACTGTGGAGGCAATGCGCCAGTGGCCCTTAGCCTCTTGAATGCTCCCCTGATTCTCCGAGTCTCTCCCGAGATGAGGTGCGTCGCTCGTTTGCGCTTCTTGCTGTTAACTTCGACGGCCACAAGAGCCGCAGCGTTTGCAAGAGCCACTTGCTGCGCTCGCAGATTGCGCAAGTGGATCTCGACTGTGACAGGATGATACAAACACCCATCCGAGCAAAGAGTGAACTCGCTTTCCTCCAACACGTTCCTCCAATTGCCTTCAACCTGGAACTCCACTCGATTGCGGCGGGCATTTTGGTCAATTTCGTCGCAACCCCAGAAGAGACTGTTCCACTCGACGTCTGTCATGTCCCGATGAGATGGAATGAGAGCCACGGTTTCTGGCTCCAAAGCAAAGCAAACATGGCGAGACTTTTTCTTGTTGCAACTCAGGGATCGTTCGTCGTCTGATTCGAGGAGTTGGCTGAGTTCCACTTGGCTGGTCTTCCATCTAGGCGTGTCGTCGTCGGAATCGGTCATCGAGTCTACAAGACCCAACAACGGATTGAAGAGCTGCTCCACGGAGACGTCTAATCGTTTGGCCGTCGAGCGATGCGGCAGAGGACGAGGAAAGCAAGATACAAACATAGTCTTCGTGTAGTTTCGGCGGCGAAAGCTGAAATAATGAAGATACCAGTGCTTGCATCGTGGAGGAATCCATCCAATTCTTTGGTCTCTAAGGGGTGTCGTTTCAGCCAGACGATGAGACCTCCTGACTGATGCATCCACTAAACTCCAACTCCGACCAAACAAGGTCGAAGAAACTAACGGCCAGCTTGAATCGTGCTTCAGTAGCTTTGGCTTCCTGGAAGACAGTTTTTCACGGGTAGGTTAGGTACGTTTAGCGCTAAAGTTATTATTACGTTTTTGTATCAAGAGTTTTATTTACCGCAACGACCTAATTTCAAAAATGTGTCTTCCTGCTGTGCAACCACGGAAGCACCACCTCACAAAGATCCATGACGATTTGAGAAGCTCTTCGAGTCAACGGTACGGACACTTCTTGTCGACGCGCCCAGCATAAATTTACGGGTTTACCATTGCTTTTCACTACTGTACATCGCTGCTAGCTTTTTAGCTAGCTAGCTAGCTAGCCAGCATGTTGCTGGCCGTACTGTACTGTTGGTTGCAACTCTTCGCAGTTGGACCGAAGGCTAGAAGGAGGCAAGCAGCATACCGGTATGGGTATTACCGTAGCAAGGAAGCCATCGCAAGCTAGAGGACTTTGGAGCTGGAGCGGATTCGATTCAATCATTCGATTGGGTACCGGTACACGTGTACCGTGGAGGGGCGGTTGAGGAGACTACAGATTGGATGGAGTTGCATCATGGCTTCTTCTTCTAGTTAGTAGGCTTGCTCCACAGATCGCGTTTTAAGATCGCCAATCAAGAATGATGCGCGTTGTCGTCAGGGCCTTGCTTGTACTGTATTAGCTCATGCAGATCTGCTAGATCTAGCTAGATAATAGTGGGAGTCTCAAGCCAGAATTGCTTGTCCCTTTCAGACAAGTATGTGGCAATTCGTTGGTTTCCAACTTGGCCGTCATTGCGTCAAGTTTCAACAGCCCTTGAATAGTGAACTACTATGGCTGAAAAGTTGGAAAGTCAATTGCTGAGGTTATCATTTCAAACGATCTATTCTCATGTTGTGACGTCCATCCCTCAAGCCACTGTTTGTTCCTGATCTCATTCAGCGCAGCCCACCTCATCGCTCTCCAACTACCAGAACATAACAGCATACAACTAGTTAATCAAATTACTGTAGTAATGAGTCCTAAAAAACGCCATGACAAAAGGATGTGTGGATCATTCTTGTATCTGACCAATGATTCGCTCAGGCACACAAGAACCTGTACAGAGCCACTCTTTCGTTATGGTCGGGGTCGCTTTCGCTTTGAGTTGGCGGAAGTTTTGCAAATGGAGCAACGCGGAAAGGCAATTCATGATCCTCCATTTGCAACTACCTTCGTTTTCGTAGCTGTCGCTTGGCCTTGTCAATCCGTCCCATCACTGCTTGAATTTCTCTCTCTTGCAAAGTAAAAGCATTCAAAACCTGTTCAAACGACACTAATGTATCTTCCACCGTTCCAGCCACTTCCTCCTGAATACGCGAGACAATCCCTCCACGGGTAATAGCAGAGAGCGTGCTAGTTCCACTGGGGGCAAGAGCCCCGTCTCGAGTCCAATCTCCGTTGGTTGAGCCCGATACAATGGTTCCTTGTTCTTCCCATGTCCTGTCTAAAGTCGTTTCATCTTGGTAGGTGTTGGTGTCATAGGTCGCCGAGGTCTCAGGATATGTATCATCGTCCCGGTTCATGGAGTTCAGTGTGCTTAGGTCTGCACTCTCATTTGGATACTGGTCGTGTTGATGGTGGTTGCTTGGGTGATATTCCTGGTGTTTCTTCTTGTGGCTCTTCTTGTGTTTGTTCTTGCCGCTGCCTTTGCTCCCACTGCCGGTGTTGCTGAGTGAGATAAACTCATATTCAGGATCTGTTGAATGATGATGGTGTCGATCGTGTGGATCATACTGATTCATAAGCATTTCATCGGATGACATTGGATTGGCGTTATCATCGGAGGTATCATTTTCGGAGGGCGAAACATGGCGTGGAGATCTTCGCTTGGGTGTCCGTCGCTTAGGAGACCGGGTAGCTCTGGGAGATGCTGGTGGCTCCTCGGTTGAAATTTCTGCTAAACCCGCATAGACTCCATCGGGTTCCCTCGTGCTGGAAGATCTGGAAGCTCCACTACCATTGCCACCAGATGGCGGTTCTTGCGGTTGTTTCTTTGTCTGTCTCAACACCACATTATCGTATTCTTCCCGTAATTGGGGATCCCCCAGAATCCTAACTGCCATCACCACGGCGTCCATCTTTCGCTCTGCGTGGAATCGATGCGAGGCTGTGATATCATCTTGCTCTTCTTCGGAATCAATGCTGGCTAATAGAGCAAAGAGCTCACTCCGACGATCAAAGTAAGCCATTTGAATCTGCTCAGCTGTCGCCGAAGATTTCACCTGCAGAACATCCTTATACAGATCAGCATGTTCGCCAAAGGCTTGGTATATCACTTCCAAATTGGGAGATGGCTCGTCATAGTCTCCTGCTCCTGAAGCACCGTCAATAGAAGCAAATTCGTCTTCGATACCAGCACTGGCATACATCATCTTGGTGGGTATATGGGTACCCAGTTTTGGTGTGATCCTCACAAAACTTGTTCCTAACAGCTAACTAACTACAGATCTTGGTGCGTCTTGGTCGCCCTTCCCCAATGGCAACACAGTACTCCACTTGCTAATATCTTTGGCACTACTATACGAACGGTGCGTTGTTCCTCTCTTGGTGGTCTTGGTCCAGGTGCTTCTGGCTTGGCCTGGCCATCTCATCGAGGCAACAAAACAGGCGCTTTTGTAACATATTTCGTGTGCATCCAAAAGCGCCAGGACGACATCGCGCGCCTCGATGAGCCGCCACTCCCCTTCCCTCCGCTGTATCGGCTAATTGTTCACGCCTGATGGCTATTTTGTCTTCCGAGCTGGCGTTGATTTATCTTTAAATCCAAATCCAATTAGAGCCAAAAATTGGCCTCACAATTCGAACGGTCGCGTTCTGGGACTAGCAATTTTAGGCCATGCGCACCTTTTGCCTCTCATTTGGGATGTAAGTGGGGCTTGGGCTTGAAGGAATGCATTCAAAACATGACCGTTGTTTTCGGCCAGCACAGAGAGAGGGATCCAGAGTGACGAGTCAACGACGAAATGAACCATTCTGGAGTACTAATCAGCTGTCATTGAATCTGAACTGCCACTTCTGTGCATACTCAAAGTAGCAACTGAAAAGAGGTGATTTGGCTATTTACATTGTATACTACTGGCTTTCCTTATAATGTATGGGAGTATGAGCTACTGAGAGGGTTGCTCGATACCTAGACGGTCTATTGCTGGCTCTAGTAGAGCCTGGCTGGGGAATCCCTACTAGTTAGTTCTCCTAAGCATCCAAGAAGAGCAACACTACCGGTACATGTATTCTATTCTCAAACGAAGTGAATGACGCGTGATTGCTCGGCACCTATACTGGTATTGTAGGTGCTCTTAGTGACCTCGGGCTCCTGGGACCATCCAGCCAAGAGCCACTGGCCAGGTCAGCAGCAATCGTGGCATTGGATTCTCGTGGGAGGAGCGCTGTTTGCTCAGCTAACCATGGAACGAAAAAACTAGGACTGCCATGGTGTTTGGCATGGCCGAGTGGACCATTATGGCTGTATCCGCGCACCTCGCTCTTCACTTGGCGCACCCTTTTGCTGCCAAACCAGATGTTTTCTTCCCTCATCTTTTGTTTCCTCCCTCATTTCTTGCTACTGCAAGCAAGTCAAGATGAGTTGAAATTGCATTCTCTTCAGTAGCTATCCAGCGTGTCGGCTTTAAGGCAGCCCCCAGTACATCTCATGATGGCAGCCAGGCCTAAAAGCTTCAAGAAGTAAAGAGGATCAAGCAAAGGGTCGAAGAGCGCTAGTATAGTACGCGCGGTTCCGGCATGCCCTGGCTGGCACACACACTGTGGCAGTTTGAAGATCTAGCTGGCTAGTCACAAACAGAACGTAGCCAATCAATTGGATAATCAAGGTCCAAAATAGATTAATACTATCCCGTTATTAGACTATGTGCTAGCCAACCCCCTCTACTGGTGCTAGAGCACCGGTATCGTTGGCTGGGAGAGAAGTCGAGCTCTGGAAAGCTGGGTCGAATGATAGAATCATTAGAATCATTCAATCATAGCTACTAGCTAGCTACTCCAGACTGGAGTGCCGATCATCTACATGTACCAATAGTTTGACTGAACAGTCGACTCTAGTAGAGCCGTCTCTTTGAGCTTTGGGAGCTGCGATGAGCGAGGGAGCTGCAAAGAGTTGAACCAAATCGAGTCGAATGAGTCAATTCTTGAATCGTATCTTCAATCATTCGATCCGGTTCGCTATCATAAAGGAGCTTCTGGCTTTGGTACGGGTTCGGTTGTAATAATATATATTATATAAGACGAGCTTGAACTCAGAGCATTCTCGTCAACTCGGTGTGTACTGAAATACATGTACATTTAATAGTGGAACAATGTGGATCCGTCTTTGGTACCTGTACCGTAATTCAGTCGAGCATTGCAAGGAAGTTTCTACTCGGATCGTATCATAGTGGCTATCATAGTACTGATGACTGTGAATGAAAACCTCAAGCTCGTGTTTCGGGAAAATTAAAGCGATCATTGGATTATTTGCGATTTAATTAAAGAGTGAGGAAACCTTTGTTCATTCCAAGAAATCAGTTTCCGCATGTTAATTCATTACTTTCAGTTGTTTACAGCCTCTCCTTAACAACAGTACCGTTTTATGTCGGGCTTCGTTCCTTTTGACAGAAAAGCCTTAAAGGATGCTTTGGGTGATCTAGAGCCAATCCCAAGTTAGTTCTTACAGGTACATTTGAGTCGTCCATCGCATCTGGATTGGAAGCCGCCGCAGATTGTCTCACAAATCGCACCAACCAATCCGACGAATAAACACAACAGCAACTCATCAATCTCATCCCACCACTATGAACCGCAACGACCACATCTTCAACAACCTAAGCATTGGTAGCAGCAATGATCTATCGTTGCAGCGCCTCGAGCCGAGTGGGCCACACCGAAGACACATGCACTGTGCCCAGAACTTTGGTGCAAGAGCAGTTACTCCAGTCAAAGAAGAGAGAGATCCACACGAAGAGTTATCGTTGTATGAACTGCTCTCGGCACTCCAGCCAGCAACAAACGCAATCATCCCATCAAGTATTCCATCTATTCGCGTAACACGTAACAACAACACAGCATCAGACCTGAAGACTCCGCTTCGATTCAATTCCTAAAGGACCCCGTTTGCTTCGGATAGCTTTCAGAACTGAAACCTCTACCTGGCCGTATCTTAAATGACTTTGTTTCCAAGCTGCGCACTTCGATGGCCCACATGGCCCAACAGCCCAACAATCCATGTGAGCAACCCTTGACGGTACCGAAAAGGCTGGAGTGCTACGCAGACACACCAGAGCTCTAGTGGAAACGTTCTTAGTATAAACTAATAGATGCCCACTACGTCACGAAATCCTTCCCCCCTCAATTGTGAAAGTAGTATTTATTTAGATGGACCAGGGGTGGTCCAGAAGTTGGTCCATATTTTTGACCAGGGGTACGGGTAGGTCCAGAAAGCCATTCCTGGTGTTGCTCCTGGTGTTGGACCAGGAGTTGGCCATGGTAGATCCAGGTGGTGGCATCCTGGCGTTGTGGCATCCGCTGCTGGCATGGCACCTGGAGTTGGGCCTGGTATAAGTCCTGGAGTTGGACGAGGGGTGGCTCCAGGAATGCCAGCAGGTTGTGCTACCATTGTATTTTGCTGACGAAACGAAACTCCCCGATCCAGCCCGCTCAGGTGAACAAAGAGAAGAGCAGGCCAGGGAAAACTACAGTGTATCACAGTCTCAGCTTCAGGTTGTCAACCACAATGCCATGGGAATATTCTCATCCTGGGGGTATGTCACAGGGAATGCTTTCTGGCACAGTGGCACTAGGGAAGGCTGACATGAAGTTATGAGACAACAGCGTGGCCCAAGTGTTCCAGAGGCACCCATGGACATTGCGATTGACAGACCTTCCACCTTGACTTTGATAGGAACCACTACAGTACTCTACTAAAGAAGACCAGCCTTGACACACCACGACTTGAGATACGGCAGGTGTCATTCATTGGGTACAGCGTCCGACTTGAATCTTGGCCATGGAGAGAGCTGTCATGTCGGACAGACTCGAGAACGTTTCCAGTGATCTTCGGGCCACACGAGAACCGTCTTTGCTTGATTCGGTTCGATTCGATGCGATGCGACGATGGACCGACCAATCTTGTAGCGTAGTTGCAGCTTGCTTGCTAGTACTTGAGCAACACCGAATCGAAGGCAGTGGAACTGACGCGTGAACTTGAGACTGCATCGACCACGGGAAGCTTACGTGAATCGATGAAGGACTTGAAAGGAGCTGCGATCGCCGTGGATTCTTGACTTGACTTTGACTCGGACGCTTGCCTTGGGCGCGAAACCAACCAACACGGACAACTTGATCTTCAAGACCGGTAGAAGGTAGGTCGCAAAGCAGTGTATCAGGAGAGTGAAGGGGGTACGGTACGACGATTTGGAGTGTCATTGTTGTCATGTGTTGTGTCGAATGCATGTTACGAGATTGTGTTTTCCCTCGAAAGTCTCGAAAATCAGTTTGCTCTCGCAAAGAGAGCGAAACGGCATTTCCACATCAAAATCGAACATCAAAATCAAAATATCAAAATAGAGTCTAGCTAGCGAAAATCAATTTTTATTAAAATATCTTTTTAGGGTCTTAGCTAATTTTGGGTTAAGGCTTTGAGGCTTACCACTTACTAAATGATGTTCTCGGGAAGGAATTTCTTGTTCCAGTACCGACGGCAGGTAGAAGTCTACAGGCCGGCAAAGCAAGTAAGTCATCGCGAGAAACCCGCACCACAGCAGCAACGAGGCAAGGCAACAACAGCGGTTTGGCATCAGCACGCTACTTCTCTCTGTTGACTACGATTTCACCATGGGAGGTAAGAATGATGACGATGATGTAGTAGAGTTGTTGTCGGTGGCAAGATGCGTTGATGATAGGAGCGGTAGATGCGTTGAGCTTGGCGGAGGTATCTTCGTGGGAGGATGCTTGTGGGGCAATACGCGTATCCGGCGGCTCCGTAGTTAGTCCTCGACCCTCCCTTCTACTCGCTAGTCTCCGCTATCTGTCTGCTGTTGCCTGTGATGGTTGTGTGTATTATCAATGATACCCTTTCCTGACTGTAACTCTGGATTCCCCGATTCTCATGTCCTCCTTTCTTGCTCTGCTTCTACCCTGTACGTGTTAGTCTCACTCAAGTTGCAAAAGCGTTTGGCCAGTTCGGTCTTGAAATGCGGCAAGCGCAAGATATGGTTGGATCCCAATGAGATTAACGAAATTGCCTTGGCCAACTCTCGCCGTAACATTTCCCGTCTGTACCGTGATGGTCTCATCATGAAGAAACCCGCCGTTGTGCACTCTCGTGCCCGCGTCGCCACCAGAAACGAGGCCAAGCGCAAGGGTCGTCACACAGGTATGTTATATCAGACACTGTTTGTAATATGGCCTGCCCGTTCCACCTGGTAGTCGATTGTTGGTTTCTGTCCTCTCGACTACGCCGGGTGGCTATGATCCACACGGGCATAGATCGATTGGTATCTCCTTGTCTGTTCCTGCGAGGGAACGGGGGGAGATCCGTCGGCCAGACAACCGATAGTCCGATTTCCACGCGTGGTTCTGGGCTTGTCCATGCCTGCCGCGTACTATTTGTCACTGTGACTACATTCTTTTTGTCTTACACGCTTCGTGTGTGTGCTTATTTCAGGTACTGGTAAACGTCGCGGTACTGCCAATGCTCGTTTGCCCGAGAAGGTCTTGTGGATGCGTCGTTCTCGTGTCCTTCGTCGTCTTTTGCGAAAGATGAGGGATGCCAAGAAGATTGACAAGCACATCTACCACTCTCTGTACATGCTTTCCAAGGGTAATCAGTTCAAGAACAAGCGTGTTCTTTTGGAAACCATTCACGACATGAAGGCCGAAAAGGTCAAGGAAAAGGCTCTTGCCGAACAAGCAGATGCACGAAAAGGAAGAGCCAAGGCTCGTTTGGACCGAAGGGCTGCTCGGGAGGCCAAGAAGGCCGCCGATGCCGAAGCAGCCGCTCAAGCATCGTAAACAAACAAACAGCCAGCAGAGAGCCTACTATTTCAATCTTCAAAGTGAACCATCTTCCACACAACTAACTTTTTAAATCAAAACTAATGAAAGCCAAAGTTACTGCTGTACCCATGGAAAAGAATATGTTGTCAGACTTGTTCACATTTAGCAAGCTAGACCCAGCTCTTGTAGGGAAATAGAATAGAAACCTGTGCTCTGAATGTTATGTCGAGCAACGGGGCCAGACATCGTTTTCTACTAGTAGCATTCATACGGTACCTCTTGGCGTCTCCCGGTATTGGCGCACAAGTACCGAGATACCATAAACGATGTTGATATTAGTTTTATTCAGCTTGAGACCCAGGGCAGCCATTGTCACGTAGCCACTGGATCACTTCGGTTTGGTCATACCTGCGGGCAAAAGCATAATATGTCCCTCCATGCCATGGGCAACCATTTTCATTAGCCCACTTCAAAATTTCCAAATGTCCACATTTAGCAGCAGAGTCACATGTCTGTTCACTCCATGGACAACCGTTTTCACGAGCCCACTTCAAAAAGTTCCAATGTCCATTTTGAGCAGCAAAGGAGCATGTCGTTGCATCCCATGGACAACATTTTCACGCGCCCACTTTAGAAGTTCCAAATGGCCATGCCAAGCAGCATAGGCACATGTCTTCATCCATGGACAACATTCAGAGACCATTTAGAAGTTCCAAATGTCCATGAAAAGCAGCATATTGACATGTCGTTCATCCCATGGACAACCATTTGCACGAGCCCACTTTAAAATTTCCAAATGGCCATTTTCAGCGGCTTTATAGCATGTATCTGAATCCCATGGACAACCATTTTCATGGGCCCACTTCAAAAGTTCCCAATGGCCATCGGAAGCAGCATACCAGCGCTCGGAGCATTGACCAAAGCAACCCGTCCCGTGACATTCGAATGCGAACCGAACGTCCTGGAACGTTCCGAGTAAAGACTTATGGGACATATATAGCCTTAACCTTAATCTCAACTGACATCACTCGATCGACACCTCTTCTTTTTCATTATTTCGATACCTTATCTTTACTCTCAAGATGATGCTCTCCTCTACGCGGCTACTCCTCTTAACACGGCTACTACTCACACCATGACAGGCTACTCTTGTTGGTTGGTAGCGCAGCGGCATCCGTTTGATCGTTCGTTGGATAGATCGGCCGACGGATCGATTTGGTCTTCTTCCACGGAGCGATCGACCATGGCACCTCCTCTTCGAACGGAGCGACGAACGGAGCGCTAACTACCACAAACAAGCCGGCTACTACTACTGCAACAAGCGAAAGCGAAAGTGACGCCTCGACAACGGTGCGGCGGATGATTCGATTCTGTCTTCTTCCTCTTTCACCATCACGGAGCAACCATGAGATCGCTCCCTCTTCGACGGAGCCACGGAGTGGCGATGGCCTCAGCTGTGAGCCTCTGCTATAGTGCTACTACGAATGAAACAAGAGCAGCCTCTCTACTACTGCTTCGAGTAATCGACTGACTACAAACATGAAATCTGATGAATTCTTGCCACTGTTGAGCCAACAATCCCCTTTGAAACTTTGAGTTGAGTGCTCTAGTCTTCATGCAAAGCCACACATTCATTTACATGACTCTGCACTGCAGGTTGGGTGCTGAGAGTGAGGACAAGAGCACATTTCTCATGGAGAATGCAGGCAGAATGCCACAAAATGGAATCCAAGCTTGATTTTTCATTGAGGCTCCATAGGAAACCTTGGATAGCTAATGCTTTTCAGAGGGAGTGTCCTGTGAGTGTGTTGGGGAGCTAGTCCTCTGAAAGCATTAGCTATCTCAATGTATTGGTAAAGCTAATAGCCATTTGGTCAACTCTGTTGCCATGGTGATAAAATTCAATTTATTTTCTTCAATCTTTTCTTTCTAGGAAGTAGTCATTGCTATGCAGGATTCGCGAAATGACCACTTCCGGGTTCCCATTTCCGAAAACTGAAAAATAACCGTCAAAAACGCTCACATTTTGACGTCTGCGTGGCGCCCCTGCTGCCTGCTGGTATTCACATGTCTTTGCATCCCCTGGACAGCCATTTGCACAAGCCCACTTCAAAGTTCCAAATGGCCATTGCCAGCAGCACCTGAGCATGTCTCTTCATCCCATAGACAATCATTTTCACGAGCCCACTTCAAAATTTCCAAATGGTTGTTTCGAGCCGCCCCAGCACATGTCAAATGATCCCATGGACAATCATTCTCTCGTAACCAAATCAGAATTTCCAAATGCCCACCTATAGCAGCCCAGGAACATGTACTTGCATTCCATGGACAACGCACGAGCCCATTTAACAATTTCCAAATGGCCATTATGGGCCGCTTGTGGAAGGAAAGGTCTTCCTCCATGAGCAAAAAAAAGAAAATACTTTTACGGTGCCGTAACTAGCTAGTTTAGAATAATGGTTTTCGTTGAAGTTCGCTCTCCTGTGGAAGGCGTTGGATACCGGTACGCATGCAGATTGCATTCTTTCTTTGCCTCCCGATATCCAACATCAACATCCCCGAACAGTGCTGAGTCTCAGAAACAAATGCTCTTCTATCAACCCACTTCCCGTGCTACCCCCAAACTGAATTGAGAATGGCGCCTCAAGGTTGTGGTATAGTGTCTGCCTTCCAGGCTCCCTTGGGTCTCTCATCATCTTTGGTTACTAGCGCGTTTTCCAACCAGCCTCCATATCCAGCACCAACTCCAACGCTAATACCAGAGACATTTCCCTCTCGACGGCGGTGGAACTCTTGTCGGTTGCCTTTGGGAGCCATGGCCCTTCAAATGGAAAACAAACAACAAGACGAGCAAGAGTTGGATCCTGAGGATGAATTGGCCACCATGAAGGGAGAACAGGAATTCTTGGAACGAGAAATAGCGCACGTGGAATCGTTGGAAGAAATATTGGAAGAGTTGGAGGCAATGGGAGGAACGGATGGGTTAGATGATGATGACGATGACGATTTTTTCTTGGACGAATTTGACGAAGCAACCTTGGAGGAATTGTTTCTGTCTCTGCCAGATGATGATGAAGATGATGGTGACGACGATGAGACGTATTTGGATATTCGAATTCAACAACAATCTGCATCTCTTCTGGAAAATGCTCTGCTGCAAGGAGTGGTTCCCGCCAGTGCCGGTGTAGGCAGCAATTGCATGACGGGGGATTTTGGATTTGATCCCTTGGATCTTGCCTCCAAGGACTACTTTCCACGAGCGCAGGCGTTTGTTCGAGACCTCGTGCCCCCCAAAGAGGGAGAAACAGAAGAAGAAGAAAGTAATGCCGACGACAAAAAACAAGGTGGTCCACGTCCCAAGGCGCTCATTTTGAGAGATTATCGAGAAGCCGAATTACGGCACGGTCGTCTTGCCATGTTGGCGGCTGTCTTTTGGCCGCTTCAGGAGTTGTCCGACAGATGGTTCTTGGATGATGAAAAGTTTGATTCTCTCCTCAACTTGTTCTTGTTTGGAGGCGTCACTCTACCGTATTTCCCACTCCTCATGACGGGCATTATGCTTCTACTGGGGTATTTGGATATTTACTGTCAAATCATCAAGGATGTGGACGGAGTAGGAGAAGCTTACCTGCCTGGAGGTGAGTGCCTTTTTTTGTTTTGTTTCATTTCGTGATTGCTTGATTTGATGTTACAAGTGTCTAATCTGGCAAACTGTTTTGGGGAAATAGATTGCTTCTGGGATCCGCTGCAGATACTGGCGGGGGCTCCCGATAGCATGAAACGAAACATGCAGGAGCGAGAACTTTTCAATGGTAGATTTGCAATGCTGGCCATTGCAGTATTTATTTGGGAAGAAGGAAGAACGGGCAAGCCACTGGTTTCGATTGAAGGAAACGAAGTTTTCTTCCAACCCGCCTATCAAATCCCATTCATTGAAAACTGGCTCGATAGCCAGTTCTCGAGTCCGTCCCCGGTTTTCTACCATTTAGGACCTGACGATGCCTCGGATTCCATCGCTTCAGTTGATATGATGCTCTCGTCAATGCAGGATGCCTTCAGGTTGACAACAACAATATGAAACAGTGCGAATACTTTAGTTCTCCGGGGTTGGTACCCTTTGCCAGCTATCGTGTATGTGTAGTCAGATCAACCAACTTTTGGTTATCAGCAACCCAGCTCTCCTCGTTTCGTTTTACATACATTGCACATCACTGAACCATCAGCACCGATAGTACGCTGCAGCATATACTATACTGATAGCGCTGCCAAAGCCCGATTCGATTCGCTAGCACGGGAATAACGCATCCAGCCAAGTCTGCCCAATTTCAGATAAGATAGAATCAAATGGACTTGACTCAGGAAGCTCTAAAAGAGCAAGTCATGTGGAAACCTTACCGGTATCCAACTCTAGATAGCTAGAAGCAAATGGACTGGACTCGGGAAGCTCTAAACTCCAGAGAGCAGCTCAGCCCAACAAACCACAGCACAGTGGTGCGTGACGACACCATAGTACTCAGCATCTGACACAGCATGGTTGTCATTGACTCGAATCGAATCTCCTCGTGCATGTACTGCCTGGCTCCAAGGGAACCGACAGGTACAACACAAGCAGTGCAATACTGCGCCATGGAGCAGCACTGAGAGCTGTGATGAGAACTGTAACGACTCCCACGTGACTGCGGACTCGCGACTACGAAGACGGCCACTCATTTTTCCAGGTTTTGGCTGACGAAGGGTGGGATCTTTTTGCACTTCCAAAGCTTTCTCATCTCGAATGCGTCGATCGAGTTTGTATGAGATTGTTGTTGCCACAAATAGACGATCGACTTTGCTAAAAGGACAATTGAGTGGAGACGGACAGTTTGTTGAAGAAAAATCACGACTATGACAGTTCTGGGTGTTGTGGAAAACCTGGTGGAGGCCAGCGCTGAGACGGACACAGATGAGACTTTGAAGAAAACGACAAATCAGGAAGATGTTTCTTCGGCTGCCGATGCTGTGAGCAGTACTCCCCAACAAGAAGAAGAAGCAGAAGAAACCGGTGAGGCTGAATCTCCTCCGTCAGAAGAGCCAAAAGAAAAAGAAGAAATTGTGGACAAGGAGAACGAACCAAAATCAACCGTTGCTTCTACCATTTCTTCCAGCGACGACGACGAGTATGAGTACGAGGGTCGCTACGGGCGCCTTCGGGAAGATGCCGATCAAGCCTTGGTTTCGACTCCGTACGGTCGTGGCTTGGTGATTCGCACTCGGAAGAATCCTTCCTCTGGCAAGGTCGTATCGAGGGACATTGAAATGATGGATTGGAAAATGGCACAACCCAAGCGAGGCCCTCCCCAAAAGGCCATGCTCTACACGGCAGAACCCTTTCCATCAGTCGCTCCCAATGTGGGTGACGACGTCAAGTGTCAATTTGGACGAGGCAAAATTGTGGAATTGACCGACGATCGCGTCAAGGTGGAATTGTCCTCGTGGCGACTGGCCGGACGTTCCAAGGTTCACTGCTACCTGAGTCGCTCTGGAGTGCAAGTGTTACGACCCAAACTAGTGTACGAAATGAATGTGGGAGAACGAGTGGCTCATGCCCAGCAATTGAAGGAACAAGCACGCGTGGCCTTTGGACAAAAGGACTATGAACGTGCACTCACCAAGTACGCCTTGGCGGTCGATGCGGTCCGATACGTCCAACATGACAAGCAGTCCACCAACTATTTGCGAGCCGATTTGTTGGTCATCATGATCACGTGCTGCAACAATGCCGCCACGTGTTGTGCACAACAAAAACAATGGGATCAAGTCGCCAGGTACGCCAACAATGCTCTCTTGCTCATTCAGTCGCTGCAAGATCGACAAAGCAAAAACGAGGATCCATCCAAAATTATGCAAGTATTGACTCGGGATGGAATGGACGACGTCAAGATATTTGGAGAATGGAAATGCAAATCCCTTCTTCTCTTGGCCAAGACAGAACAGGCACGAGAAAACTATACCAAGGCTTTGGGGCATTGCAAGACGGCCCATGACATTGTGACTAAAGACTTCGAAGAATCAAAAAGCAAAGTCCTATCCATGCAAAAAAAGGAAATCAGTCGCATCCATGCCGCCGCCAAAGAGGGCAAACAAAAATTGCACAAGAAAGAGAAACAACGAGCCCAAGCCATGTTTGGTGGTAGTAGTAAGAGTGAAAAGGAGGACGGAGGCGCTGTCAAAACAAACAGTGGCAGTCCTGCCAAGGCAGCAACAACAGCAACGACAACAAGCCCCAAGGAAAAGGATGTCTCCAAGACACCTAGGACGAAACAACCGACAACCAACAATAACAACGGGCCCAAATTTAGGAGAACGGTCACATTTGAAGATGGTGGAAAACCATCGGATGAATACGAAAACAAGAAAAAGAGCAACAACGATGATGACGAGGAAGAAGAAGACGTAGAACTGCCATGGTATCAAGAACATCAAGAATTGCTCATTCTGGTGGGAGGATTGGCATTCTTTGGAGTCTTGTTGCAAGCCATGCTAACACGAAGCGGTAAACGAACTCGATCATCCTGAGCGAAACATGGATGCAAACCAGGAAGGGTGGCGCACTGTACGGTACATAAAAAGAACAATCACGCTACTTAAGTCTCGTGCATGCTATGAATGATCAGATACTGCATTTTTGCTTGGGGGGATTCCTCACGGAAAATGAGGCCAGGAAAATGAGGCCTGACCTTTACGGTGTAGAATAATACTTCCTTCCAGAATCCGCAACGTGCTGGATCTGCCGTCTCTTATTTCAGAACATCCTCGTGTGCCGCAGGGCCTTGATAGCATATGGTTGCACCGACATGACCAAGAGCCTCCGCCAACCTCCAGAACGTACCGGTACGGTACCGGGTACCGTAGCTACAGATCGACACGTGTGGCTCCAACAGTCCGACTGTCTCTCACTCCAAAGATTACAATTGCAGCATCATTGGAGTGACGAGTGACGAGTCGTAGTTCTGGAAAACGTCGATACTCCCAGCTGAAACAATACAATACAATTCAATTCCTACAACCTCAGATTGTGAACGTTCTGCTACTCCTCATTCCAATCGGGTACGCAAAGAAAGATGAAGTGTATGTGTGTCCTTTCGCAAACGCCTCATCGTGGGATTGCCAGTGGCCGTTGGCTATGTCTCGTGCAGCTGTCTTCGAAGTGACAGTTCGGGGTGCACCAGACTTGCCTCATAGGTAGCCAGTGAGGAACTCAGCGAGACAAAGCGTTGTCGGCGGTTCCATAAATTGCTCTCCGACGACAACTTGGAGAGAATCTATCGACCAACCCTTGGAAGCTCTTTTATTCGCAGGATTAGCTAATTTACGACGGTCCAATCGAGATGTTCACAGGTAAGTTCAGGGGGGTGACGCGATCTGGTTCTCTTGCATGTACTGACTTCTTCTCTGCAGTTACCGGTGCACACAAGCTTGCCGCCGCTGGCAGTCGAGAGGGCTTTGGCGTACTAGTGCGTAGCAAGGAACGACAAACCGCTATTAAAGTACTGCTCGCGAAGATGGCGCTAAGCTAACCCTTTTTCAATCAATTCCAGGCTTATTATCGAGTCAACGACGGTTTGTTGAACAAACAGTGGATTCGAACAGACCCTAAAGCTGGGAGCATTACGGGTTCAGATTCCATGTCGTGCCGCAGTTACCATCGGCTAGGAGAACCCAACGCTACTGCTCACGGCACGGAATCCATGTTCGTCAGTGGCATGCACGAACTGGATCCCTTTCTGGACCAAATCGTGAAGATCACGGCGGATCTGCATGTCCCCTTGATCATTTCGGACGATCGCGGCGAAAATGAGACCGATAGTATAATCGAAGCGATGGACGACGACAACATTGCCATGCATGATTCGCCCCAAAGTCGGAACAACCCCATAGTTGCGGTCGCCGTCGTGTTGACCTGTTGCACTGTTCTGCTTGGGGCGGCCACCCTTGCTGTGCGTCGTCGCATTTGGAAAAAGTGAAGCCGCTTCTGTGCCTTTTCAAGCCTCAAGTTTTTGCCGAACCGACCGAATCAATCAATCATCAGATTAACTTAGGAATTACAAAGTCCCCGGAGGGATTAAGTTCTATAATTAGATTTGAAAACGGTATGTGATGGCCTCTTGCTAGGGCCATCCTGTAACCGTTTGGGGGTATAAAGAGGTATTGTGTAAGCATGAATCGTCTCGACATGTAGATTGTTTGTGGGTTTATTGGGGACGATATTGTCCCCGTTGTTTTTTGTTGTTTCTGTTGTTGTGTGGTTATGGGGCCGGTGGGCCATGGATTATCCAGCGTTCCATCAGGTTGCGTTTGTAACTCTGGTCGTTCCGTGTTTGTACTTGATCAGCTGCAGCTGCAGCTCGGGCTCCTTCCACACTGGCTAACCATTGTTGTATTTCTGTTGTGGAGAGCTCCAGTTGGGATCAACCAATCATCAACACAAGGGTACCTATTGCCCATCATAAGCTCGGGGACATCCGCCTCCTTTCAAAGTAAGCAGACCTATTATTGAAACATATTATGTACAAGCAATCTAAACCACATCCGTCGTACCATCGTCAGAGAACAAACTGACCGCCGTCTCCTCCCTTCCTTGGTTGTGGTTATCGTCGATCATTGGCTTCAGTTCAGATGGAGGCGACATTTGATCGTCGCTGGCCCCATGAAAAGTAACACTGTCCAGTTCCGGTGAGCTGTGTGCCGATCGAACAGACCGGTGATCACTGTCTTCGATTGTGGTCGTGGTGACTTTTGATGATTGAGACTTTCGGATAGTCGCTCTCGAACGGCTTGCCACCGGCGAAACTGATCTTGCACCAGGGGTGCTAACGCTGCGTCTTGGAGCTCTCGAACTTCGAGTTCTTCTTTGGGGGATCTCATCCGCGACCAAGCTACGACCACTCATATCTGCTGGCAAGACTTCCTTTAAACCGTCCTCGTATTTCTTCTCGACATCCCATTCGAACTCGACTTCGTCCTGGAAGGTTCGATCCAGTTTTGACGTTAGTTTCGAAACAACCTTCCAGTCATCTTGTGTCACCGCCAAGCCACTCATGATTTTGTTGTTGATCTCTTCCAACTGATCTTGAAGATCCAGCATCTTCAGCACCAAACGGCGTGCAGGAGTTTCATCCTCGGTGACAACAATGCGTGTGGCAAGACGCCTCTTGGGCATGCCCTTCCGCGGTGGGCTTCTCTTTGGAGAAACACCTCGCTTTGGAGAAACGCCTCGCCTTGGAGATGCGCCGCTCTTTGGAGAATTCTTTTTATCGTGGTCACTCTGGTTCAAACTCTTTTGCGACAGTGTCCACGATGAGAGTCCTGAGAGTCCTGAAAGCCCCTTTGCCTGCGCCATGGCATGCCGGAAGAAACTACTTGTGCGCTGCTCCAAAAACGAGTGCTTCTTACCGTCACCTTCATCATCCGTTCCCGCACCGTTCTCCAAGGTGGCCGCTGCCTCTATATCCACGACATCGTCCATCGTGCCGCCACCCGCGGCCGGCAAGTCGTTGTCATCACGTTCCGCTGGAGCTTGGTCCTGCGGTTGCTTTGCTGCTGTTGCCGATTCAGATGACCCGCCCGACTCCACATCGGCTTCCAGCTCTGTGGAGCTCGCTGGCTCAGCGTTTTTGTCGCTCTTAGTAAAGCATTCCTTTGACGCTGCAGCCATTCCTTCGTCTTCTTCTTTCACGACATCGAGGTGGTCCTCCAGCATCACCGGCGTGCCCACGTCGGGCTCCAACATAGCGCTGATAAGGTCGGCCCCTTCAGGATCACTGTTGCTGGCATGGAATTGTTGTTGCTCCCCATTGCTGCTGTTGAAATTAGTGCTTTCATCCATTGAGCTCCTACGGCCCATAAGGCCGGTGTCACAGCTGTTTGAATGTGTGGTGATGAGTCGATTGGTCTGACCCAAATCGTAGTCCCCGCCAGCAAAACTCCCGTGGAGGTTGTTGTTGTATCTGGAGTGGGACATATCCATACCGTATCTGGAGTTGGACATATCCATACCGGATACATGTATTCCGGTCACTGATCCTCTTCCGGAAGCCCTCACAGAAGCCCTTCCTGCTTGCTTTTCTCTGGTCTTCCTGTGATGATCTGTGACCAGTTTCGAGACAACAACAACATCACCTTTCCACACCTTTTTGAGCTTTGGTACCATGATTCGGAGTGCCGAGTTGAGAGTGATGGAAAGAATCAACACGAGCATAACCAAATACTCCACGTCGGGACTGGTGTTGGGATTGTCGGTGAGCGCCATGATGGCACCGCCCAAGCACAGCAAAACAATGCTGAGAAAGGTAGAATCGTAGATGACATGCGTTTCGTTGAAGAGCGACGGCAGTTTGCGGCTCGAATGTGCCATGAACAGCAAGATGATGACCAGCGCTACTAGGAGAAAGAAGCTGTACATGACGAGATTGTTGGCGGTGTCGACGCCAGCACTGCATGTGGCGCGGCCCACACTTTCGTCGCTGTTAAAGTCAATGACGCGTTTTTGTGGTTGGACGATCAATGCCACAATCTGGATGACAACCTGCGGAAGTGCAAATATGCCCACGACCAATGCCAATTGGAACTGTGTAATTTGCTGTTTGACGCCACTGCTGTTTTTGCGTTGTTTATCTTTCTCCATGATGAATAGATTGTTCAGTTTGAAGCTGATAAACGTGAGGGCCTCAACAAACCGTTGCGTCAGTCCTGGTTTTCCCTTGTTGAGATGTTCCAAGAGTAAAGGAGAGATGACGGCATGGATGCTGCCACATGAGAGAATAAGAGGGAATGTTAGAAATGAAGTAATCG